TCAGTTGGTGCCATCACTGACTATTGGGGGCAAATCGCTGGCCCCCACGGAGAGGGTTTGCAACCTGGGCGTCCTCCTGGATTCGCGGCTGTCTTTAGAAGACTTTGACGGCCGTGACCGGGAGGATTTTTCATCAGGTTCGCCTGATTCGCCAGTTGCATCCCTTTCTGGATCGGGACTCCTTACACATGGTCACTCATGCCCTCGTCACTTCCTGCCTGGACTACTGTAACACTCTCTACATGGGGCTCCCCTTGAGGAGCACCCGGAGGCTCCAACTGGCACAGAGTGCGGCCGCGCGGGTGGTTATGGGAGCAACATGGCGTTCCCATGTAACACCTCTCCTATGTGAGCTGCACTGGCTCCCGGTGGTCTTCTGTGTGCGCTTCAAGGTCCTGGTTACCACCTTTAGAGCGCTCCATGGCTTAGAACCTGGTTATTTACGGGATCGCCTGCTGTCACCAGTAGCCTCCCACCAGCTCTCGTAGAGAGGGCCTCCTCCGGGTGCCGTCGACCAAACAATGTTGACTGGCGGCCCCCAGGGGGAGAGCCTTCTCTGTGGAGGCACCTACTATCTGGAATGAGCTCCCCCCAGAGATACGGAGGATCCCGGATCTGTGCACCTTCCACCGTGCTCTCAAGACCTTTTTATTCCATCAGGCTGGCCTGGCCTAACTTTCCCTTTTTCCCTTTTAAAATGTAAATTTTAATCTGTTCTTAATTATCGGGGTGTTTTAAATCTGTCTTGGGCCAAATTGTTTAATTCGGTTTTATTTTGCTTTTAAATTTTGTATTTATGTGTTTTATCTTGTGGCTGTTCACCGCCCTGAGTCCTTCGGGAGTAGGGCGGTATATAAATCAAATAAAACCTAAACCTAAAACCTAAAGAACATTTTTCACAATTGAAATTTTGAAAATATTGAGAGCACGAAATGATTTTAACCGATCGAATCACTGTCTGGAAGTATATGGAAAGATGATGTTTTTTATGTTGTTTTTGTTCAAAAATAAAAAAAACTTTTATAATAAAAAAAAAGAAAGAGAGAAATACACATCTCCACATGGGTGCGATTATTGTGGTGTGTGACCCATAGTGTTGTGATTGGGACTCATAATTTGTTTCTTATGTGTTCTGAGTTGGCCATCTCTCAGTAGATTTCTCCAGCACCCCCACATCCCCTGCCTGTGCCTCGAGCTAGGAATGGCTGTTCTGTTGCAGCAGTAGAGAGGAAAGGTCTGATCTTCAGGCAGCGGCTCTCATTCAAGAACGAAGAAGGCCTGAGGTTTGAAAGCACAACAAAATGGATATCGGGAGCAGTTCTTTCTTGCGATGTTGTCCCTGAAGCCCAGGATAGGGGCTGGTTGATTTCTCCTGAGGGTTTGCTCTTGGCCTCTGCAGTCTATATAGGAAGGAGGGTGGTTTTGCCAAGTTCTTTTTAACAGGACAAAAGATGTTTGTTCTTTCAGTGTCTCTGGAAGACAGCTAAGATACTGATTTTCAAACTGACTAGTGTTAGTTCTGTATTAGTGAAACCTGGTAAAGTAGGACTTTGGCTTTTTGATCTTGATTGTGAAGGCTTTCCCCTGGCTGAAAAGAGGCGGTTGTGTACTATATGATGTACTATATGATGATGAGTGATGAAAAGTAATTTTTAAAAATGCTTGTTTCCCTTGCCTGTCACCTTCAGTAGTATTCTCTTGTCCTTATCGCTGCCAGAAGACCGATAGGAAATTCTACTACTAACCCAGTGTGCCACATATCCTAAGCAACTTTAGGATACGTGGACTCTCAAAATGACTTGACTGGGAAATTCTGAGCGTTGATGTCCAGACAACTTAAAAGTTTCTGAAGTTTGAGAAATACCAAGCTGATGTCTTAATTGAGCATGGCAGAAATTAGAACTTTCTACTTTGAGAGAAGCAGTAATGGTTTTCCCCATTAAAATTTGGATGGCCAAATCCTATGAAAAGTCCCTTGCCCTATCTGGTTGCAGATCTTTTTTTATTTCACTGTTGGCATTTCCCAAGCACATACCCAAGGGAAATTCAGATACAAAGTGCCACTTCAGTGTATGTGTTTCAGTAAACACTAAACCCATTTAATGATTCTCCCCCCCACCTTGCATTTGAAGTCAGCCTTGGTATTGGTAACCCTATATTTGGGATAAGATGGCAACAAAACAACTATGGCCTGGGTTTCCATTGGGGAGAAGACTGTGAAATCCCTTTTTTGGCTTTGATCAGTCACTATTATCTGAGGCTCGTCCATTTCTTTTAGTTTCCTGTCTGGGGAGGAGGAATAGTGATGACTTGCCTCACACTCAAAGGGGCTCTATTGAACAGGTGAGCCTTATGCATTTTATGCTATCTACAAAAATAATGCATGATCACATGGTGAAAGAAATGAGGTTCTTTCACATGGAAGAACTATGCAGAAGGCTTTTCTCATTATTAGCAGGGGAATTTCCAGCTTACATAAAATGTAAAAGTTAGAAATCCGGGGCTTTCTCTCTGGTATCTGAGCGCTGCTGCAGCCAACAGGGGAAGTTGGTTATTAAGATGGTTTTCAAATGTTGATAGGCTTGTGGAGAAAGACATATATATACTAATTGACTGCTGTCATTTGATTCTGGAGCTCATTTTATTTCTAATAATGGGTCGTTAGGGACAGATGGACAGATCTGATCTGGAAACAGATAGCACTTCTTTTAGGACCAATAGAAGAGAATATAAGTAGCTCGGGGTTGAACTGTGGAGTCCTTGTGCTCTCTGAACTTGGTTGTTTATTTTTGTGCCTTCAAAAAACCCAAAGTGCCTTCAGAAAATATAGTGCATCCAGGAAAAAAAAGACCTAACCATTGATGATGATGAAATTATGGTTTCATTCGAAGTCACAGCACTCTTTGTGTCCACAGCACACTAGTCCAAAACTAGTGAAAGAATCCATAGCAACAGTACTACACACCATACTCAACCTAGCCAATACACCAAAATACATCAAATACATCAAATACCAAAAATCATGGTTCTATCAACCTCTGCCTCAGTGCTTTCGGTTTGATGGACAAATATATCAACAAATTAGAAGAACACCTGTGGGTTCTCATGACTCATAGCAAAGAGTATAATGCAGCATCTAGAAACTATAGCACTGCCATTCATAAAACCAAAAGTATAAATCCTGAATGTAGACGACTGTTTAACATCATGATAAAGATGGAACAATTAAAGAAGACACATGAAAACAATCAACAGTATCTTCAAAGGAATAAGTCCTAAATTGGTCCTAAAAGAAGTGCTATTTTTCTTTTCTTCACAAGAGAAGAAAAAACTAATAACACACTACCTTTCTGGGATATCCTAATCATCAGAAAAAATGACAGCAAATTAGAAAAAAAATCTATTGGAAAACAACCCACATGAACCAAGTGTTTCCTTACCAAAGTAACAACTCAATCCTTCACAAGAGAAGCTGTAAGAACCTTTTTAAAAAAATGAATATACTGTAAATGCATCATGGCAACCCAGAATGCCAGAAAAAGAAAACAGACTGCCAACTTTATCAAAAAGTGCCTGATCACTTAACTCACTAAAGCACCAACACACAGGCTGTGTAAATGACAACATTACCATGTATCAAAAGCATCTCAGAAACAACCAACAGATTATTATAACACATGGCATCATTACCAGAGTACACAAACCAATAAAAGCCCTCCAAAACAAGTTAAGTAAACCAAAAGACCCCAAGAAGAAAAAAACAGAAGTCATCTACAACATGCAGAGTAAGAACTCACAATCAGAAGTTACAATGAAAACTACATGATCATACAACACATGGACAAACTCAACCATAGTTTCAACTGGGAAATTATGAGCATCCTAGACCAAGCTAAATCCAAAATGTTAAGGAATTCCTGGAAGCTTGGCATTCAGATAAATCAACCATCAATAGACACAGCCAATCAGAATATAAAAAGCAAACAAAAAGAACAGAACACATCCTCTCCAGAAGCATATGCCCAGATAAGCAAGGATTAACATCAGATGATCAAGTAGAAAACAATTCCCAAATCAAGGAACTTCCAAACAGACAACCATACCCCTACCAACACTGGCTGGGCAAACTAATCTATATAAACAGAGAGCAAACTCCACACTGAGTAGCACTGATGATGTTCTTTAGTCATGTGATGAAACATTTGCAAGCAAACAATTAAGCTCAGAGAACATCAAGAACTCTACTTTTTTTAGGAAGCTATTTCTTACTTTTAATGTGGACTCAATCTGTAACAAGAAAATTTGGCATGGGTTCCTGCATTGAGCAATATGAAGCCAGAAATGAAAATAAAACCAAGCATGCTTCACACAGATGTTCATATTTATTTTAATATCTATTTGTTACTAGACACAGATACCTCCTAACCATTTTGAATACTAAACTTGTCTTTAGTATCAGACCTCTATCAGACCTGGGACATGAGTCCTAACAGCATATTTTTCAAAATATGAAGATAGAAATAGTTTTTGGAAACTATTCACAAATAACAAGCCTGTTTCTCTTTTAAGGAGGAGGAGTTGAAGGAACTAATGTTGGACATTTCTGACATACATTATGGAATGCTCTCACACCCTGGTTGACATAGTTAGCAGTTCTGAACTGATTTCTAAGGCTAATATGGGAAGACACTGAATTGGTGAACAGAGGGGTATGTGTAATACAACTTCTGTAAGCTAAAGTCACTTTCCATTAAATATGCCAGCTGGACTGGGGCGGTATTATTAAAAAGCTAATTGTCTTGCAGTAACATTAATTCAGTGAAAAATTGCTGACTTCCAAGATCTGCAGATGAGTCTGAGTAAACTGAGGTCTAGTACTGCAAATTTATGTATGATCTAAAGAGAAAGAGGATGTTATTAATATCTCTCTCGTTCCTCCTGCTTCTCAGACCTAGTAGCTTTTCCTGTCTGCCTGATTGCTGTCTTCCTTGCATCCACAGAGATTCACGGAGGGCCGAGATCCCGGCAGTTGCAGCCTGCACGTTCTCTCCCAGGGCCTTCCCACTGCCTGAAGCATTTTCCTGTTGATCTACGGACCTCCATGGATGGCAAGTACAAAGAGCTTGCTGAGGTAGATCTGCATATTCCCTCACTAGTTGTTTGTATGTGTCTGCACTGTTCATTGTAGAATGAAGGCTGTGAAATGAACATGTAAAAATCATGCAATTTTTCTTGGGTTGTTCTTCTTAATGTTAAAAAAAAGACCATTTGTAAATTCTATTTTGAGAAAATTGTTTTGAATCCATGTGATTCTCTAGCATTTCTAGGAGAGAAGGGTTGACTGGAGAAAATAGATTTAAAGTTTCTTAGTAAAGAATTGCTCTTGAAGCAACTTATTTTTGGATTCCAGAAATAAAAGCAGAACAGTTATTTTTGCCCGTTCACCTTTTACTCTGAACTCTCCAAAGTATGCACTGGTCGCCAGCCATCGGAGGTGGTAGGATTATAATCTAAAACAGGTGGTCCTCATTTAATAACCACTCATTCAATGAATTTACAATGGTGCTGAATGAATGGTAATTAAGACTGGTCCTTGTAGTTATGGAAGGGACCTTGTAGGCAGGGGTGAAATGCTCCTGGTTCGGACCGGATTGCCCGATCCGGTAGCAATGGAGGTGGGTCGTTTGGAGAACCGGTAGCAAAAATCCCTGCCGCCCCCTCATGCCCAGCTGAGCCGCACAATCATCAGAGGCTTTTTTTACTTTTAAAAGCATTTTTTCTACAATCTCTTCGGCCGAAAAAATGCTTTTAAAAGTAAAAAAAAAAAGCCTCTGATGATCGTGCAGCTCAGCTGGGATCGTCAAAGGCTTTTAAAAGAAAAAAACCCTTTTTTTCTTTTAAATATCTCTGATGATCCCAGCTGAGTTGCCTGATCGGCAGAAACTTTTTTTCTTTTAAATGCCTCTGACAATCCAAGCTGAGTTGCCTGATCGGCAGAGGCATTTAAAAGAAAAAAAGTCTCTGCCGATCAGGCAACTCAGCTGGGATCATCAGAGCCTTTTGAAAGCATTTTTTTTCAACCTCTTCGCCGAAGAGGTTGTAGAAAAAATGGTTTTAAAAGTTTTTTAAAAAATTGGCCATGCCCACCCAGTCACTAAGTCACCCACCCCCCACTAAGCCATGCCCACAGAACCGGTAGTAACAAATTTTAGATTTCACCACTGCTTGTAGGTCATCTAGTCCAACCCTCCACCCATGCAGGAGACCCTACACCATTTCTGACAGATGGCAGTCCATCACCATCACTTTAGAACCAAGCCCCGCTACCACAAGAAAATAGGAAAACCGGAGATCGCTGAAAGGAAACCTCCCATCTCTAACACGCTCAGCCGAACCTGTTATAAAATCTCAGCATCCCACAGTCACGTGATTGCAATTTGTGAACTTCCCTGCTGGCTTCTGGCAAAGGAAAGCTGGCAAGAAGTTGCAAGTCACATGATGGCCTCATTCAGTGAGCCATGCCATCATCGCTTAGGACAGACAGCAACTGGGACTGCCAGAACTGCCCATCACTAAGCAGTCTGGTCATGTGGGTTTTTTTGACAAGTTGTATAGGCATCATACACTACACTGTAATGTAGTGTTTCTCAGCGCTTCACAACTTGTTGGAGAAAGGGAAATGTTAGCATATGCTGGCTGGGGAATTCTTGAAGTTGAAATCTACGTATCTTTTAAATTGTGAAGACTGAGAAACACTGTGTTAGGATATGTTTCTGTCTTATTTTCATAAGAAGCAAGTAAGAGCTTGCTTACTTGGCAATGACAGATCCTTAATGTTGACAGATCAGTGTGTATAAAGCACACTGGAGAAGGCATGCTCCTGGGTGTGGCCTTGGGTTTATTAATCATTGATGTGTTCTTTGATGACCTGGACAATGAGAAGTAGCAGTTATAAGATTCATTCAACAGCCATCACTGGAACAGTTTTAAATTACCGCAGTTATGACCTCAATGCAAATTACTGTCCTAATCAAGAGTACATCATGTTATAGTTTTCTAATCCACTGAGCAGCGGTACTTTCACTGATGCTGGCATGAGATTGTAGTCCTGGCAGATTGTCCCAGAACAGCTTTTAACGGACTCCTCGGGTTGTTGTTTCTTATGGATAACAGAGATTTGTTTCTCTTATTCATTTAAAACATTTATATACAGGTACTCCTTGACCTATGACTGGTTGCTTAATGACTGTTTGAAGTTACAACAAAGTTACTTAGGACCCAAATTTGAAATTCCAACCACCCTCTTTAGTCATGTGACTGCGTTTTGGGCACTCAGCAAATGGTTTAAACTTCCCATAGTCACGTGACTGCATTTTACAACTGTTTTGCCAAAAACCAGCATTTACTTCTGGTTTTGGAAGTAAACTGGTCTATAGCAAACCATTGCCTCATTTAACAACCACAGCATTTGCTTAACAAATACCACAAAAAAGATCATAAAATCAGGTCAGTCACATGGGTGACCTGATCTATGACCATCCCGACGTAACAACTGTAATGAACAGGTTCCATTATGGTCATAACTCAAGGACTACCTGTGGCTGTCCGTCTCATACCAAACTCTGAGTAGCTCCAAATCAAGAATTAAAACCACATAAAAAACCATATTAAAATCATAAATATTAAAAAAAAAAAAAAACACCTGGTGCCAAGTCAAGCTTCTAACTTGCCATCACCCCATCCTATCCCAGCACATGGGGTGGAAAGTCAGGACTTCAGTGCTCTTTGGAAGGCTAGGAGGATAGAGGCCTGCTGAACTTTGGTGGGGGAGAGGAGTGTTTCATAGGCCAGGAGCTGCCACAAAAAAGGCACGCTTTTTGGTTCCCGTAAGGTGGCAATGTTTAAGGGAAGGGACTGGGAGCATGCCCGTCCTATCTAACCTCATACAATGATGAAGACCTTCATTGAAACTACATGCACGCTTGTATGGATATTCCAGTAGCACTGTGCTGTTATGCTTGCAGGAGTTGTTTTGTCACTCATTGGCCGAGAGTGAAATGCGCAGTGCTCCCTACGAATTCCCAGAAGACAGCCCCATCGAACAGTTAGAAGAGAGGCGCCAACGGTTGGAGCGGCAGATAAGCCAGGATGTGAAGTAAGTTGCCAATGCTTTTTGGACTTTTCCTAGTTTCCCTTCGATATTTCAAGAGCAGGATGGAACATTTCACTTGGAGCCTTGGGGGAAAAAGAAAACAGGATGAGTAAGAGTATTTGAAACTGGGAAAGATGGGAAGAAATCAAATGGAGGTAACTTTTATTTACAATCTAGAAAAAGTGTGATAGAGACTTTGGAAATATCCAGGAATGTCATTTCATTGCTTCAACTTCTGCAGTGATAGTAACCATCATGTCAAGAGAAGCATTCATACAGTCATCTGTCAGTGGCATGACTGCGTGTCTATGTGCATAAATGTGTGTGGCTGATATTTTTACACTTTGCTTGTCCTGCACACAGTTTTCTTACTGTTAGATTGTCACTGGCATGATTCCTTAGCAATCACATCAGGTAGAAAATATCTGGGTTTTATCTATCCCCACCTTGCTGTTCTTCTCTATAGTCCTTTAGAGACCAGAACAGGGAGAGGAAACAGCATGGTGGAATAATGGCACATTTGGCCATTAGGATTCTGCAAATGTTTACTTCTAACCAGAAACCTCACTTGGGAAGGGCTGCAAAGTCTCAGAGTTATTTCTTCAGTGGTTCAAGCCAGGGCATCAGTATGAGGGGAGGACAGTGCTTAGGCAGAAGAAATGGAAGCTACCAGTTGCCTATTTACCTGCCTGATGCCTGGCAACCAGTGGTGCACTTGTGCTGCTCTGAAGAAGGAAGAGGGGATGGCAGAAGTGAGACGGAAGGAAAGATCCATTGGAATGAAAAACTTAGGGAGAAGGAATACAATAGGCAGAACATGGTTTGCTGTAGAGATCCATGCATGGAGTTCTGTTAGATAGGAGGCAAGTCTACTCAATGGGGGAGGGGGATCTTCATTTCTACCCTGATTAGACGCCCAGTTTTTCAACTCCCAAAAGTTCCCCTTGGAATGTTGTGGCAATCTAGGAAAAGTAGGATTTTAGAGGAGAAGCACAAAAAGAGATCCAGGAAAATAACTTCTGAAGGAGAGTATAGGACTTCCTTTTATCAGAGCAATATTGGAGATAACAGATTTCCTTCTCTTCCAGTGAAAATATTCCCACAGCCCCAAAAGTCTTTGATCTTCAGTTGTAAAGAGGCATTATATTGGTCCTGTGTGTCTAATGAGATTGATTTCAGTGAAGAGAAAGTAGTCGAGCTATTTATCTGTCTATATCTCTTTAAGGCAGAGCCTGTGAAAGGGGTTTGGGTAGGGGGTTTAGGAGTGGTTTGGAAAACAAACTGGCTGCTGGTAGTCAAGCAGGTGGGAAGGAGGGAAGGAAGGAAATTAAAATAAAGGGAAAATATGATGTGGGAACCAGCAGTGCTTTTCCAATAATAGCCAAACCATAGCTTAGTCATGGTATCTTACAAGGACCTCTTACATTCATTCTTTTTTTGGATCCCATTGCTAGTATATTGCTGTATAGTGTCTGCCATTTCTGATATCGGTTTCTGCATTAATGCTAGTGTTTTTCTTTTTCTCCTCATCTTCTTTACCATTTCCTCTTCCTCTTTCTTTCTCCCCTCTCTGACTGTTTGTCCTTTTCTTGGCCTTGGCCTCCACTTCCCATTTGTCCTCAGACTAGAACCTGACATTTTACTCAGAGCCAAACAGGACTTCCTGAAAATTGACAGTGCTGCCGACCTACAGTGAGTGCCTGGCCTTAATTCTCTCTGCCCTTGACTCAGGGGTGGGCGCGGGACTTTCCCGCAGGCTGACTCTTCTCCCTATTCCCACCTTGACTGATCCAGAGTGAGTGACCTTCTCTTTTGCAAAGTTCTGTCCCCCTCCATACATTGTATCCCACATGCAATTGTACCACCACTGGGGGTGTTGCCATTAAAATGAATTCCACAGACTGCAAAGAAAACCTTAATCCACGTTAAATTAAGGCACTTTTCCCCAACATGTTACTCTCCTGTTGTTTTGGGTTGATGATGGAATACCTAACGGGAACCAGGCTGGGGAAAGACTGAGTAACAACATTGGGAGGATTCTAAATGGTCAGATAGAACCAGAGTTCAGAATGGAAGTGGACTTACTCCCAGAAGTGAGAAAAGTTTGGTATGTTAGAACAAAGGTACCTCTGGAAAGGAAAGGCTAAAGTCAGCTGCCTTATCTGTGTGTGTCACTTAAGCAAACTCTTCTGAGAAAAAAGCTTATCTAAAGTTGAAAAATTAGGGGAGCCATTTTATTTTGGACCAGACCAAATATTATTGGACTAAACCAAACCTCGTTTTATTTTTTGCATCTTCCAGTCCCAAAAATCTCAACATCGGTGAGTGGGGGATTCCACACATCATACTATTGGTTGCTTTCCCTTGTTCCTTTTCTGAGCTCTGTTTCCCTCCTGTCCTTCTTAAAGCAACTATTTTCAAGGCAGGCATAGTGGATAGAGCTGTTTGTCTCTGTTTTATATTTGCCTTTTCCCCTTCCCTCTTTCATTGTGCATTTGTTGACTGAGCAGCTTGGATCCTAGTGAACCCAGAAGCTCAGCCAAGTAGGATGTTTCTCACTGTTTTAGGCAGATGAGCAGCTCCTTCAGTTTTGCCACGACAAGAAATCTATTCTGATACTCTACAACAGGTTTTTTTCAAACTGTGTTTGGTGGAATCATGGAAAAGAAAAAGAAAAGGAAGGAAAAGAAAGAAAAAGAAAGAAAGAAAGAAAGAAAGAAAAAGAATTATTCAAGCACAGTCAATTTTTTATCACTAGAGGTTTGCCTTCTGATTGTGGGTTCCAGGATTTTTCTTTTAATCTACGAATTTTTGTAGCCAGAAAAAGTTTGAAAATCCCTGTTTAACCCAAATGTTTGATCGTTCAGTATAGAAATGAGCAGTCAACCATCTGGTAAATTTGGGGCTCAGGAACATTTTCCTACTAGTTCTGCTGTATGTATTGTTGCCCACTGCTATTCCTCACCCCTTTCCATAGTTCAGAGTGCTGCCATTGGAGGATACACCTGAAAGTCCCTGTGTTGCCCGTGTTTGTGTGTTCGATTTTGTGTTTTCACACACCTGCTGGAAAAGGGGACTCCTGTAGACTGACAGAATTTATCAGAGACTATTCCTCATGGTGGCTCCTTCATTCCCTCTCTTTTCCCCTTTCTTCTCCCCCCAGATTATTTAAAGAACAGGGTGAAGACCTAGTAGATTACCTTCCAAAAGATCGAGATATATTTTTGGACAGAGAGTTCCAGAGGGTCACCATCTCTGGAGAAGAGACATGTGGGGTAAGTCTGTTTGATTTCGGTTGTTCTCATTTCCCCCAACCCATAAACATTGATTCTCTTTCAGAGACCCTCACACACAAAAATGGGCAAGTTGACATCCTCCACCTAACTTTGACTACAAGCGCCCCAAAGCTCTGGTCACCATAATCAATAATTTGATCGTTGTGAATGAAAACATCTGAAAGATACTTAGCTGCCTTTTTCTGCTACAGAACATAATGCCTGCTGTATTTGGAAATATGGCAGTGGCGCAGTGGTTAGAATGCAGTACTGCAGTTTACATCTGCTGTTGGCTGCCAGCAGTGCGGCAGTTCGATCCTGATCGGGTCAAGGTTGACTCAGCCTTCCATCCTTCCAAGAGTTGATAAAATGAGGACCCAGATGGTTGACGGCAATATGCTGACTCTGTAAACCACTTATAGAGGGCTGTAAAGCACTGTGAAGCGGTATATAAGTCTTAAGTGCTGTTGTTATTGCTACCCTGGGAATGACTAGCCTCTGACACCCATCTACAACTTGATGCCTGTTGCATTAATGACAGCTCCCATTATCTTAAGCCACTTTGGTCAAGGTATATGGGAGTTAAAATCCAGAATATCTGGAGGATGCTAAATTGGGGAAAGCTGAACTACTGTCCTTGCTCTGAGTTAGGGAGAAAACATAGGTTAGAGATAAAGTATGTGGATTGCAAGCAACAGATTTCTTTGGTTAAAGTTTCCTATAATGGAGAGTTTAACAGGGTAAGATAGTAATTTAGTTGGACAGATGCGCTAATCACATTGCAGAAAGCTTTCTACATTCCCAAAATATTATATACGTTCCTTGAAAATCACAGAATCCAAAGAGTTTCACATTAGCTAACTACTGTGTGATGATACTGAGTTCAGTCCTACAACTTAGTTTCCTTGACAGTTGCTAGGACTACTTGAATGCCCCAGGCAGAGATCCTACTAACTACGGCATCTGCTTGGAGCCAATTTTTTGTGAGGTGTTTTTAAAATGTGGGTTGTGGAGTAGCCAGTGGGCTGCATGTGATTGGGTTTTGTTTAACAGCCTCTCTGCCCTGCTGAAATCTGATAAACCTTACCCCTCAGTATGATTTTCTGCTTTTAAAAAAGAAAACAAGCAGTAAAATATCTATAGTGATTCTCGATCATCCATGTCATGGTTATGCCAAAGGTACTTTTCCAAAAGGCAACTGGACTTTCTTTGTCACTGGATTTCTGATTGTCAGAAATTGACAAACAGTGACAGGTCTGAATTTCTTCAGAACTGAAGAAGCTTCTTGGATGTGAAGCAAAACATTTTCAAGGAAAAAAACCCAAGAAAATCCAGTTGTCTTTTGGAGACAACTGGAACTTTGGGACAGACAGTAAAATAGAAAAGTTAAGCTCTGTTATTTTTGAGTACATTTTTTTTAAACTATTGTATGTTCTGCTCCTCCATTTCAGCAAAGGGCTGCAAATTTTCTCATTTTAGAGACCTTGATGATTTAAAAAAAAACCATTTTAAAGGGGGTGGAATCCCTTCAAAGTGCTTGTTCACCCTTGTTTTAAAAGAACATTCTACTGGCTCTTTAATTGTTTTTCCTAGTGGTGTCTCAGAAGCTGAGGGATGAATTTGAAGAAAGAAAGAAAGAAAAAAAAACCCATACTGCTTCTGCCGCAAAAGCATGTGGTTTTTGTTTTGCATACTCTTCCATGCTGATTTAGGTTGACTTCCAGGGCAAAGCGGAGGAAAACTGCTGTTGCTGAGAACAGGAATGTTGTTTGTTTTTACAAAAACTCAAGGCCTTGCAAGGTTCTGGGAAGTAAGTTCCCCAGGAGCCTTGAGAGAGCCATTCCGCCAGCTGAGCTGCCCTTCAGCCAAGTTCAAGTCAGGATGTGTACTCGGAGGTGCTACATCAGCCAGAGATCTGGGATGCAGTGAGCCAAGTGGGGGCATTTTCAGGACTCCAGCTGGGCAAGTCCCCCCCCCCCCCGTTGAGCTGTGGCTGGGGCCAGACCTTTGAAGTTTCCGGGGATCAGTTTAAGATGTAGCTGTTTATCTATGCTTGGGCTAAACTGGTTCCTCTGTGCTGCTCTGGCATTGTTGCCCAACATTTCAGAGCTCGGGGTGTATGGTGTGGAATAAAAGTTTGACCGAATTGTCATTTTGGACCATTATTTTTTTTTTTTAACTCATTGTTCCTTATTTTTCATGAATGTGCTACAGTTTGGATTGTTTTGTTGATTAAAAGACAGGAGAGAAATTTAAATTAACAAACAAATACATAAATAAGTAAAGCAAAAGAGAGGGAAGCCAGTGAATCTAGTGAATGAGAGAAACCTCAACCCTGGAGCCAGCCACAAATGTTGTTGTAATTTCCTTTGCTGAGAAGGTGAGCAGTAAGCATATCCTTCCCTCTCACTGGAGCATAGTTACACTGGTGTCCACACCTAGAGAATATTTATTGGTAGTCCAGAGCCTAATTTTTCTCTCCACTTCTATATGAGCCAGAATCTTGGTGAATCTTGGTGGTCCTGCCACAGGCAACCATGTTGTGAGCAGGGAGATCAGTTTTTCTCTTACCACACCAATGCAACAAGGAAGAGGAGGGGGTTGTTCACTGCTACTTGCATAATGAGTTATATTTATTTATTTTATTTATTTATTGGTTCGATTTATATGCCGCCCTTCTCCGGAGACTCAGGGTGGCTTACAATGCGTTAAACAATAGCCTTCATACTTTTGTATATACCTGCTTAGTAGGGCTTTGTAAGTCTTTGTAAAGGCTGAATTGGAACTATTAACTGTTGACCATTCATTCAGCTGCCCAACTCAAGCTATGTGAGTCTGGGTGACATACAAGACAAAAAAGAAAACTCTTATTCCTTAATATAAAACAACAACTTATTAAACCATGAAGGGTCCTTGGTGCTCTCTCTGAGCTTGCTTATTTTCTTGTAGACATTTCATCACCAAAACTAGTTAACGTCATCAGTGCTAGTGTGATTAAAGCATACTAAACACTAAAATTGTGAACAGAAAGATTCCTAAACCCTCCCTTCGGAGACTCAAGTCAACTTGCCGTAAATCCCTGTTGAAATATGTATGTGTGAATGAGGGTTTGGCTGAATAACCAACTTGACTTGGCTTTTTGCAGTCCTGCCAGATGTAAGGTTGGCTGCATCATAACTTCGTCTGTAAACTATTAAGATGTTGTAATAGCTTCAATTGACTGAACTAGTACGCATATGAGATAAAACATGGATTAAGCATCCTGTGATCTCCAAATGCTGATTCCTGTAAAGAAAAAAATAGATCACGGAGAAAATATTGGAAAGCATTTTGGCAATGTTCCTTAACGGTGGGTTTTTTGGTAGAATGCAAAACCTTTTCTTTCTATCTTCAAGTATTCAAAATGCTTTCTCTGATGACTTCTGTTTTATAGCGTGTGAAACTTTCCACAATGAGGCTCTGACAACCCCCTCAGTTAAAGAAACTGCTTTTCTTTTGCCCTATATAGGTGCCCTTCACAGACCTGTTGGACGCTGCTAAAAGTGTGGTCAAGGCATTATTCATTCGGGAGAAGTACATGGGGTTTTCTCTGCAAAGCTTCTGTAAAACCACAGCACGATTCCTGCAGGATCTTTCAGAAAAACCCTTAGCCCCCAGGATGTATGAAGAGATCCCTGAGACTCCTGTGGCTGCAGGTAAGGATCAGAACTGGGCATGGATTGAAAAAAAGCATTTCCCTAATTCTAGTGACAGGGATGGCTAAGATGATAGTTAGAAAAAGATACTTTAATAGGATTTTAGACTGATTGTTTAAACTATTTGAAGCCTGGCAAATAGTCTGGAAGGAGAAGACCTTGAGGCACAACTTCTTTCACAATCAGTGACAGTTGCAATAACAAATCCTGTATTATCTGCTACTGGGGTAGACTAGACTGGATAGGTGCAGGAACTCCACAGTTATCTCTCCATGCTTACGCATTCTGCAAGGTTTCTTTTATTGGGGTCCAAGAGAGAGATTTTAAAAAGCATGAAGGAAATTCCAGTTCTATGCTGAAAGAAGCTGAATCTTGTATTCACCTATTTGGTATATACTGTGTTCTGTATTTTCTATTTGGATTTTGCTAATAAAGGAGAAGGCAAAGAAGTGAACAAGCTATGTCTAAAGCCAACTAGAAATTTACTTCTAAAATTAAAAGAGAAAAAGAAAAAGGCATATTTCTCAGGAATAACAAAGGAATTTTACATGTAGACTAAATTTTCTATTACATCCAAAGCTGCACGTTCTCTGTGTTTCCATAGAAACATGCAATCTAAACAGATTCTGAGGTAAATGGGAAGGAGTAATATAATTAGGCTTCCGTAACATTATGCACTCTTGACGCTTTGGATTACCAATCTCCTTATCCTCAGATATCATGGAAAGCTGCCAAGTGAGTGATGGGCGGAGATGTCCAATATACGGTATGCGGAGATTCCCTATCAAATTTGGGGAACACTGGATACAATTTTTTTGCAGTGGTACCAACACATTCTATACGCAATATAAACTTAACCTTAAACTTACTGGTAGTCCTCAGCTCTGACCATTCATTCAGCGACCGCTCAAAGTTACAGCGGTGGTAGAGGATGATGGTTACAACTGGTCCTTGGAGTTCTGGATATCCCAGCACCACCCAATCCCACAGTCGTGATAGAGGTGCTTAGCACTTATGACTGGTTTGCACTTAACGACTGGTTGCAATACCCCGTGATTACATGCTAACCATTTGCAACCTTCCTTATCCAGCTTGCCCAGCAACAGCCACTAACCTCCCTGACAGCCTGAAATTTCCTGCCGGCTTCCCCACTGACTTTGATTGTAGATACTGGCAGGACATTGCCTTGCTTAACCACCATGGGATTTGATTAACAACAATGGCTGGGACTGCAGAGATTGTTATCCCTAAGTGATGCAGTCACACTTTGTAACCACGTCACTTAACAGTGGAAATTCCAATCTTAATTGCCATCCTAGGACTAACTGTACCTGTTCAGCCTTTGCTTAACTGATTTGCTTGGTTTGTGCTCATGCTTTCTTAGTGGAAGAGAATGGGAATGCACAACCCCTGAAATGGGAGGGGGATTATGGTATGGGCCAGAGGTAAATTAGCATTTGATTTCTCTTTTAACATTCCATTAAACTCTTAACTACAATAGTCAAGATCACTGGGCAGATGGGTGGTTTCTCATAAGCATTTTCCTCTGTTACAGATGCTCCAGTGCACCCTCCATTTGCACACCAGCATCCTTATGAGAAATGTGATCCTCAATCAATGCCTGGAGATCTTGGCTTTGGTCTCAGGATGGTCAATGGAGTAGTTCATGTGTACACCAAGCAGGATATCACTGACAAGTAAGTAGGTGGCTGAAGGCCTGAGAATAACCTGGTTATTAGGAAAAATCTGGAAGAGAAATAACATCTGGGGCAGTGATGTTATCTATGATTCATGTCTTAGCTGAGCAAGATTTCTGATCCTCTCCATTTTTCTCTGCAGCTAGGAATCATTAATGCTTCTGACTTAACAAACTGCAAAGGAAACAGATTTGAAAGTAAAAATTTATCTATAATTATCCCAAACAGAATTTATTTTAGGAAGGTTCATTCTTGAGCAACATTTTGTGGTATACACAAAATTATCTGCTCCTTTTTTGCTAATCATTATTTATGTGCATACAATGTACAGTGATTAGTATTGCCACAATAACGAGAAAGCACATTTTTTTTTCTCTTATCCATCTGCCCTCAGGAAAGTAATACTTATTAAATAGTGAGGGGGCTGTGGTTGCCAATCAGCCGTACTGAGAGACAAATTTCAGTTAGGAAAGCTCATTACTTGCACTAAAAAGTAATAGAACAGAATAAGCTAAAGCAAATAAATAAATAAAAATATGCACTGTACTTTTATTTTTAGTTTCACATTCAAAGCAAAGTATAATTAAAAAAAAGTTATTTTAAAAAAATATGTAAACCCTCACCCTTTAATTACAAACCATATAACAGCTTCACGACATCCCAGGAAAGTCATGTTAAACAAAAAGCCTTTTAAAAGTACATTGCAAGTGATGGAAGGAACACAATGGTGCAATTGGAAAGACTGCTAACAAACTCTCACAAGTTTGCTATGATTACCAACCATTTCTCTTCAGTTCCCATCAGCCTAGGCTAAAAACGCAGGAACTGAAAATGGAAAACACCTTCAGCTACATAGGAGTCTGGCTATTTAGGCCTTCACTGTTCTCTGAAACCAATTACTAAATGTAACGTATCTGGTAGCTTGTGCTAACTGAATAGTCAACTCGGACTTCAGCATCACTGAAGGCTTGAAGCCACACTGATTCTAAAGCAGGCTACTACAGTCCAGACTAGAAGCTTCAGATGTGTGGACTTCAACTCCCAGAATTCCCCAGTCAGCATTGTTGAAGTCCACACATCTTAAACCTGTCAAAGTTGAGAAACATTGATCCAGGCTGATACTAGTGTTTGTATCAATTGCAGCTAGTAAAATACACTTCTGGACTGAGAATGAAGCAGCAAGGAAGGAAAAGCAGGATACTGCTGCTCAGCATCTTCAGCTGCTCTCACTTCGATCTGATATGGATCCAGCCATCTGACATATTACCCTTTAGCTCAGGGGTATCAAACTTGCGATCACACGTCGTCATCACGTGACGTCTCACAACTTTTCTCCCTTTCGCTAAACTGGGGGTGGCCAGCATGTGACACATCTGGCCCGTGGGCCGCAAGTTTGATACCCCTGCTTTAGCTCATAACCAAGTTAAGGGCTCCAGATATTGGGCTCCAGTTGTACTGCAACTCCTTGATCTGATATAAAAGAAACTTTGAGGCCAATGTCAGGAAGACATTGATGACATGTATCAGGAGTCTCCAACCCCTGGGCCGCAGCTTAGAACTGGGCTGTGGCCTCAGTCAGAATCAGGCCACACAAGCAGTGGGCCCTCACGCACATAGCTCCAAATGGAGCTAGATGCGCCAGTGCCCCCGCTGCTCGCGCAAGTGGAGCTGCCCGCATATGTGGCCCCACCACTTGCATGACCTGGAACCATCCACTCTTCCCCCTCACTGCCACTGCCACCAAAGCTGGAAAAATTGGGGACCGTTGCTCTAAACCATCTGTTACAGCAGTTACATATATTTTGCATTGCTCATTTCCTCTCTGCCTAATATAGAAAAGCAGTTGTTATTCTATACTTATCCTAGAGCAAATGTAAAACCCAGGATTTTGCCAATTCAAATTTTAAAACAATGATTTAGTCTACTTCAAGGCTGGCAAATCATTCAGAGCATCTTGTTTCTCTATTTTTTCTAGTAAAATACTTCTTACAATTTTTCAAAGTACTAGTGACAATGATATAGGGTTTTTTTCCTGGAATATTGGCGAGGCTGTTCTTGGTTTGACAGGTTTATATCTATTGGGTTACTCAAAAAACTATCCTCTACGCAGACCCAGGCAGTGGTGGTGGTGGTTCTTTCCTTGCTTTCTTTCAATGATGCAACTTTGCTCATAACTTTGGCGGTCTGTTCTCTATTGCATTTTGAAAAGGACCACTGAACTGGACTTGCCTTATCCTGACCTGCAGGAGTTTGTGGCTGACATGAATGTTCTGATGGCTCTGATCATCAATGGCCCCATGTAAGTTTTCTACCTTTTTGATCTGTGCATGCAAAATCCAGGTGCCAAACTCCTTTCCAAATAGCCATTCTACAAGGGTGGCTTACATATATTATGATCCTAGAATCTGTTATGTAAAACACATTGTCATCATAAGATTACATGGGAGACACATTTATCTTTTTTTTTTTTTTTGGTCAATTTAACATAGTTCATAGTTCAAAATAATCATATGATTATTTTCCTGGATAATCAAAGCGTATTCTTCAGGTTGAAAGAAAATTTATTGGACTTTTTTTGAAAGAAACCGTGTCCAGAGAATGCTTCAATACAACTTTGAATACCAGGAGCCAAAAGCAGATGCTTTGCTTTTCAATTTCTTAGCATTTTTGTAAGGAGACAGTAGTCCCAAAGGTGTTTTTTCAAGAAACAACTGGACTTTCTGGTTTTTCTTTGAAGATGTTTCACTTCTCATCCAAGAAGCTTCTTCAGCTCTGCCTCTTGAAAAGTTTGGGATAACTATGGCTTGGATGATGGCGAATCTGCATAGACATAAGTAGACAGTAGCTACTTAAAATAGCTACAGTAGCTATTGTAGACTCACCATTAGGCCGACTTGGCATAGGCTTGATTGTATGGGATCTTTAGTAATTCCCATATTCTGTTTCTGGAAAGAAGGATCTAGCTTCCCCACCCGTGTAAAACTTTCTGAGTTATCAATTTATTGTACTGAGATAGCTTATGGGATAATAATAATGAAATTAGATCTCAAATGGAAAATGTTCTAATTAGGGTGTGCAAATCTTAAATTGTTTTCTTTTCACCTTTGGACAGAAAATCCTTCTGCTATAGAAGACTTCAATACTTAAGTTCAAAGTTCCAGATGCATGTCCTGCTCAATGAGATGAAAGAGCTGGCAGCTCAGAAAAAGGTGCCACATCGTGACTTCTACAACATTCGAAAGGTAGAAGCACTGTATAATTTGAGAATATGTGCTGGTAGTTAGGGCTACAGACTATCTCAGTGCCACAGATTGTTGAGACTAGAAAGTTCAATAGGAATAGAATAGAATAGAATAGAATAGAATAGAATAGAATAGAATAGAATAGAATAGAATAGAATTCTTTATTGGCCAAGTGTGATTGGACACACAAGGAATTTGTTTTGGTGCATATGCTCTCAGTGTAGATAAAAGAAAAGATACATTCATCAAGAATCATAAGGTACAACACTTAATGATAGTCATAGGGAACAAATAAGCAATCAAATCATATTAGGAACAATCAATATAAACCTTAAGGATACCAGCAACAAGGTTACAGTCATATAGTCATAAGCGGGAGGAGATGGGTGATAGGAACAATGAGAAGATAAATAGTAATGCAGTCTTAGTGAATAGTTTGACAGTGTTGAGGGAATTATTTGTTTAGCAGTGATGGTGTTTGGGAAAAAAATGTTCTTGTGTCTAGTTGTTCTGGTGTGCAGTGCTCTATAGTATCGTTTTGAGGGTAGGAGTTGAAACAGTTTATGTCCAGGATGCGAGGGGTCTTCAAATATTTTCACAGCCTTCTTATAGAACGCTTCACCAGTACAGCCCTTTACCTCTTTGTACTGGTAAGAGAACACTAGCAGATCCTACTGCTTTTAAGTTGGTAGCAAAACACTTTCAACAGAAATGCTGAGTTTTGCACTCAGATTTGCACCTCTTGGCCCATTTTGGATTGGTATATAGGGATTGTCTTTTATAAAAACAAAATCCAAACAATTATGTTAATGCTTACTGTATAACAATCTTGGAAGAAAGTCAGCATTACTTCTGTATTACAGATTGAAAAATAGAGCTGAGTTTGAGAACAACAGTTTTTTTTTTAAGTCAGCTAATGAACTGGTGTCTAAGATAACATTTGAGCTTGCATCTTCCTAGCTTGTATAGTTATCCACTAATCCTTTGATCAGGTGGACACACACATCCACGCCTCATCCTGCATGAATCAGAAGCATCTGCTACGCTTCATCAAACGGGCTATGAAGAAACACCTGCAGGAAATCGTTCATGTGGAAAAGGGCAAGGAGCAAACCCTTAAAGAGGTCTTTGAGACCATGAATCTCACCGCATACGATCTGAGTGTGGACACCCTCGATGTCCATGCGGTATGTCAGATGCATTCATCGAAGAGGGTAGCTTTTCTCTGACTTATAAAGAGAATTAGAAACTGATTTTCCTACTGGACTAAATAGCAATCTTAACTTTGGACACTGGGCTGGATAAAAGTTTCTTATTCTTTCCAGTAGAATGGTCTCACATGCAGAATGGTAGTTTCTGACTTTTTCAGGTCTGTGGGAACACAGCTCTAAAGTTGCCTCAATTATAAGCAATAGAGAATCTGATCTTAATTAACTCCAACAAGTAATTTGGTAGTATTTATCAAAGAGAAGAAAGTGCTCATTAAAGAAATATGTAGCAGCTTCTGATCTTGGAAGGCACTTCCAATCAAAGGGGGATGATGGAGGGAATTCTGATTAAAGAAATATATCTTTATGAGTAGGGCTAAATCAGGAAGAGAAGGCAGTTGCACTCTGGCTTATCATGATTTATCTTGGCATTCTCTCTGTTAATAGGATCGTAACACCTTTCATCGATTTGATAAGTTCAATGCCAAATACAACCCCATAGGAGAGTCTGTTCTGCGGGAGATTTTCATTAAAACAGACAACCAAGTCTCTGGAAAATACTTTGCTCATATCATCAAGGTGAGGCCTGCTATAATGGTATGTGGGAAAGTCCTTGAGAGACAGGGAATTGCCACAGCCAGGGGAACAGTTGGACAAGAGACGGCCTGCAGAAGGAATGTAGGCATGGCAGATGCCTCAGAAGGGACCCTCCCTAGTTTTTTAGGCTGCAAAGGCAGTGGGGGAGAAATGGATTTTCAGACTTGCAAGATTCGTAAATGTAACCTTATAATAAAGTAGGATCAATCCATCTAGTTGTGCTTCACATCTGGATTACCTTGCAAGTTGGCCTCATTTGTACATACTTTCTTAAAGCCAGTGGGGCTGAACAAGTTATGCAGACTTAAATATAGCTATCTTTTGGGGCTTTGAAGCTTGGGAGAATCAAGCAGGTTGGTTTTGGAGAAGTAATAGAAGTGTTACAGTAAGTTAGGGGTGTCAAACCAGTGGTGGGTTGCTCCCGGTTTGCACCAGTTCACAAGAACCGGTAGTAAAAATTTGTAGTTTGGAGAATCGGTAATAACATTGGCTGGCCACACCCCCGAACCGGTCCCCAGCCTGGTTGCCGCTCGCTTACCCCGCCCACCTCATCAGAGGCTTTTTTTTTTTCTTTTAAAAGCATTTTTTCTACAATCCCTTCAGCCGAAAAAATGCTTTTAAAAGTTAAAAAAAAAAAGCCTCTGATGATTGTGCGGCTCAGCTGGGATCGTCAGAGGCTCCTAAAAGCATTTTTTCTGCAACCTCTTAAGGTTGTAGAAAAAATGCTTTAAAAAAAAAAAAAAGTTGGCTACGCCCACCCAGTCACATTACACCCCCACCAAGCTATGCCCACAAAATAAGCCACGGCCAAAGAACCGGTAGTAAAAATTTTTAGAACCCACCCCTGTGTCAAACTCGCGTCGTCACGGCAGCATCACATGACATATTGTGACTTTCCCCCCCTTCACTAAATCGGGTCTGGGCGTGGCCAGCACATGATGCATCCAACCCGCAAGCAGTGAGTTGGACAGCCCTGCTATAAGTAATAAAGTCACACGGGGGGAGCAGAAAGGGGTGGTGGGTGTATAAAGGTTATTTCTTGATTACTGCAGGCCCAGTAATGGCCATAACTCACTTCTGAACATTAGAAGCCTACTCTTAAATGTTTATACATTTGTCCCTCAATCATCAGAAGTTGAAGCCAATATATTCGTGTCACACCATGCTACAATACTTACCTAGCCATTGTAGTTGGAAACTACGGTATGCTTAGCGTATTCTATGGGCTAATATTGGGTTTAGCATTATGCATGAAGGAGGCTCTGCGGCCTGGTGTGTTTTATGAACCTAAGAAACCTTATGGCTAAAATAACAAAAGTGGATCGGACAATCTGCAATCAGTGTCTCTATTTAACTGCATAATTTGTTGAATGAATTTCAACCAACCTCTTTGTCACTCAACCTGGCTCATAGGATTGTTGTTTGGGAAGAAAATGAGGGGAGATCCCCATCTAAGTCACCCAGACCTCCCAGACAAAAGACAGGATAAAAGAACATGTATTTTTATTGTTTTTTTTTTTTTAAAGAAAGAGCTCCTATTCTTAAATTGCTAACAAGCTCATTCTCTCCTGGTAGGAAGTAATGTATGACCTAGAAGAGAGCAAATATCAGAATGCAGAACTGCGACTGTCTATCTACGGCCGAGCACGGGATGAGTGGGATAAGTTAGCCAAGTGGGCTGTTACCCACCGAGTGCATTCCAACAATGTACGCTGGCTGGTGCAGGTGCCTCGGCTATTGTGAGTACCTCTCTCTTGGTTTTGCAGTTTCAAAAGCATGCAGAGACTCGCAGAATCACAAAGGGCTTTGCATACATTAGCTGCTGTATTATTAATACCCAACAGCCGGTTTTGTCTAGTAAAAAGTGGGTACAGGACTTGCTTTTTTAAACATATATATAATTCTGGCACCAAGATTATACCCTAAATAAGATAAATATTGCCCTTCCACTGTCTTTTTTTTTTTTTTTAAGACTGATAGAAAATCATGTTGTTTGAACAGGTATGATTAAGGTGAAACCTTAGAGGCTGCAATCCTGGAACCAATTTCAGAGTATTCATGTTTAGGATCAGTGAGATCGCTGTGCCTTATATATCTGGGTATCTTTGGGGAGAAATTGTTCTACTGCTTTATAGAGCAGGGGTCTCCAACCTTGGCAACTTTAAGCCTGGAGGACTTCCAACTCCCAGAATTCCCCAGCCAGCAAAGCTGGCTGGGGAATTCTGGGAGTTGAAGTCTGCCAGGCTTAAAATTGCCAAGGTTGGAGACCCCTGTTATAGAGGGTTCTTTATGCTACAAGTAGCTTTCCACTGTATTTTTTGACGGTCACGGAGAGCAACCATCTCAATAAGAACTGTAGAGGGCTCTTTAGTTTTCTGTGGTTGGATCTTAGTTTTGATTTCCACAGCAGTTGTAATCCCAGTTAGTGGGAAACCACCCTTTGGACGTAGCTGCTCAGTGTAGTACAATATCAGCTTATGAGCTAAAGTGGTAAGACTTGCACTGATGATGTTACAGTATCTAGTTGGGTAATGAAACATCTGAACTGGAAACGGTTGCAACAGATTTCTGTCTACCATTCAGAAAAATACCACCCCTCTGTTGGTGGCGTCAGAGGAGAATGTTCTCACCTAGGCTAACTGAGTCAGTAAAACACACGAGTAGTCCCAAAAACCTCTTTAATTTCAACGGCTGTGAATTCTGTTCATTCACAGATGAGTCCCAAATAGTTGTAAAGAGTCCTTCAGGATAAGGCGGATAATCACCCACCTTTAGCTCCCTTGACACACTGCCAAAGACCTAATTGGCAAAACCACATGGAGTCCAGAATCAAACAGAGCTTCAGACTTTAAACTGAACAGAATGAACAATGTTGCTTCCTGCAAAGGCCCACGTGCCTTTGCTCCTCTTTTAAGTCTTATGGGAGGGGCCAATCATCTCCCAGCCCTACTCCGATCATCCCTTTTGTTTGAACTGTTTTTGCCTTCTGGCAGCTCTGCGCATGCGCGCACTGGGAACAGGCTCCCCCTGTTCCTCTGCCTCGCTGAGGTCTGAGTCTGGAGGCTCCGGAGGCAGCACTTACCTCCCAGATGGCCCTTTCTCTGCCTCTGAGACAGAGCCCTCGTCCGAGCCTTCCCCAGACTCCAGGACTGGCCCATGTTCCTCCCCAGCCTCCTCACTGTATGACTCTGCTGCTAGCTCCACAGGCTGCCGGAGGACCACAACAGAGGATGGGGGAAGAACCAGTTGCAAATCTGTTCCCCACAATCTCAACAGAAGCACCAGGACTAAAACTACTTTGAAAATATTTGATAAATGGCCATACAAACTTGCACGTTTTCCCCAAAACACATCCTCTCTTACTAAATCACTGTGTAAGAGAGTTATCTATGGAGAGTCTCAATCATCCAGTTCATGGTTTTCCCCAAAGGTGCTTTTTCCAAAAGGCAATTGGACTTTCTTGGGGTTTTTTTTCCCTTGAAAAACATTTTGCTTCTCATGCAAGAAGCTTCTTCATTTCAAGACTGAAGAAGCTTTTTGGATGAGAAGCAAAACTTTTGCATACCTTTGGGGAAAAAAAGCACCTTTGAGTATAAGATAGTTATTCCTTCCTGCTGTGTGACATCTGCAGTGAAGACTGTTGGGAATTGGATTTGCTGAAGCAGTTGGGTTACTTAAGTGATCTGACTCTCATTCCCAGAAGCTGTGCAAGCCTTACCACAAAGCAACTGGTTTTAAGTGCGATCAAGGCACACTTAGGTATTTGTTCATAATTTCTGTGGTAACTTTAATGCCAGGGAAGGCAGAGATGTGGGAAGAAGTGTTTGCAGTTTTCTGGTACCAGAGTAAAATCAATTTTACTGGGCAACATATTTATTTATTTATTAAATATATATATATATATATTTATGCCGCCCATCTCCCCTAACAAGCTGACTCTGGGCAGCTTGAGATTTTTCTGCCCAGAGAACAGGGAATTGGGTACCACCTAATACATTGACAACAGAAAGGGAAAAATGAACTAGTTTAGTCTTCTAGGACAGGGGTCTCCTGTCCTCAGCAGCTGAGCTGAGGAATTCTGGGAGTTGAAGCCCACAAGTCTTAAAGTTGCCAAGGTTGGAGACCCCTGTTCTAGGAAATATGCTACCCACTCCCCTCTTCTTCAAGAATCAGGGTATGTGGAGTGTCACATTACACGACTGCTAATTATAGCCCTCAGTCAGCTCAGAACAAAGTCTGAGGAACAGGATTGTCAACTGTGAGGAATGAAGAGATTTATGTGTGATGGAGCACTATCACTTTTTGTTTCTTGACTTTTAACAGTGACGTATACAAAACAAAGAAACAGTTGGCCAACTTTCAGGAGATGTTGGAGAACATTTTCTTACCTCTCTTTGAAGCCACCATCAATCCTGCTAGCCACCCAGAATTGCATCTCTTCTTGGAGCATGTAAGTAGGGATATTGGAAAAAACAACAACCTTAATTTCTAGTACTTGTTAAAGGGATGGCTAATAGTATCTCTGCATTTGGGGCAGAGTGAAGGACAAACCTTATATATGTGATTCTTGTATATGCTTGATCCTGAAGGCCATTTAGTTAGCATAAAGCGGAATGGTTGATATATATCAGTCTTAAATAATTGTCACGATCCCTCTGGCTGATTTGCATAAAATGAATGAAGATGCAAGAGGCTTCGAAATCCACAGGCATATTTTCACCCGCTCCCTTTCTTTCCTCTGGTTTCTGAATGGGCAGGTGGATGGTTTTGATAGCGTAGACGATGAGTCCAAGCCAGAACACCATATCTTCAACTTGGACAGTCCCTTACCTGGCAATTGGATGGAAGAAGATAACCCACCATATTCTTATTACCTTTATTACACCTATGCTAATATGGTGGTGTTGAATCATCTGCGTAGGTAAGTGGTTTGCGTCTTATCTCCCTCCTCACCCACCTTTTCTGAATTTGCATTTGCTCCAGAATGGTTTTTAAGGCCTTGAATATCCTTTTTCTCACCTTTCTGGTAATAATAGTAACATATTAAGAGACTCAAATACTCAGGTCTTGTGGTCTATGTTTCAGCTTCATAACTTTGGTGCTGTAGGTTGGGCATTAATTCCTGTTCCTCTTTCCCATTTTACCAGCATTTTGACTTCTCCTTTTCCAAAATGCCATTCATTTGATTGACTAAGCTGTATATTTTGCTTTCCCTTTTTTCCCCTAGGAAGAGGGGCTTCCACACCTTCGTCCTGCGACCCCACTGTGGGGAGGCAGGACCCATCCATCATCTTGTGTCGGCTTTCATGCTGTCAGAAAACATATCTCACGGCCTCCTTCTCCGCAAGGTAAGGGAACGCAAATGAGTTGATACCACATCTAAAAACATGGACATGCCTGTATATGTGCTGAAGCAGAAACATTGCTTAGAAGCAAAGCTGCTGCTTAAACCACCACATACCTTTGGGTATTTTGATAAAGGCTACTGTTGTGGTAAACATGCAGTGGGAACCTAGGCAGAAAGCAAAAAGAAAATCACATCGCACTTGTGTTGGAAGCACCAAGGCGCTTCCAGGTTGAAAGGATTAGCCGGTGACATCGCTATTCTCCGGGGGATGCCCAGTTGGGGACTCCTTTCATGTCCACATTAATGTGCTCACCAAAGTGGTACCTGTCTAGCTACTTGTGAATGCTATGCTTTCGAAATGCTAGGTCAGCAGGAGCTGGAGCAAGTGACGGGAGCTCATCCTGTGCCATGGCAGCATTCGGGTTTCAAACGTGGGCTTGCTGCTTGTCAACCTAGTGCCCTAACTATGTGAGCCACCGTGCTCCTAAAAAGAGAATGTGAATAGATCATGCTGGTGATACTCGCAGTCTCTTGAAAGAGTTTCTATTCATGACTCTTCCAAATGGATTGAAGGAAGGAGGAACCCATGTATATTTATCCAGAAGCAAGCATTAGGTGGGGCTCAGTGTTTGCTTGAGATACCCCATGCCTTAACATTGAGTTTCTCTCTAGGCACCGGTGCTGCAGTATCTCTACTACCTGGCTCAGATTGGCATTGCTATGTCTCCACTTAGCAATAACAGCCTGTTCTTAAGCTACCATCGTAATCCGCTACCTGAGTACCTGTCACGGGGCCTCGTGGTCTCCCTGTCCACAGACGACCCCCTGCAGTTCCATTTCACTAAGGTGAGTGTCATGTAGCAGGTGTGACCCAAAGGAATGAAAGATGGCCCAAGGGAGGAAAGATGCCCTTCTTTTTATATAGTGTGGCAAAATACTAGAAAGAAAACATAGCTGTATAAGTTTTTCCTTTGCCTGTATCATGTGTTAATTACATAATGCTTCATCCCAAGCAGCAAAGCCGCCACTTTTAGATCTCTGCAGATGTCCCTGTTGTACTTGGTTTACTGCATGTGCTTCAACAACAATTCAGTGGTGAAATGTAAAATTTGTTACTACCGGTTCTGTGGGCGTGGCTTGGTCATGTGACTGGGTGGGCATGGCCAACTTTTTTTAAATTTTATTTTTAAAAGCATTTTTTCTACAACCTCTTTGTCCAAAGAGGTTGTAGAAAAAGTGCTTTTAAAAGGCTCTGACGATTAGTTGCCTGATCGTCAGAGGCTTTTGTTTTCTTTTAAAAGCATTTTTTTTGGCTTTTAAAAGAAAAAAAAGCCTCTGACGTTCAGGCAACTCAGCTGGGATTGTCAGAGCCTTTTAAAAGCATTTTTTCAGCCGAAGAAAAAATGCTTTTAAAAGTATAAAAAAAAAAAAAAGGCTCTGATGATCGCGCAGCTCAGCTGGGCATGGGGTTCTCGGAACCACCCGCTACCATCGCTACCAGATCAGGTGATCTGGTCCGAACCGGGAGCATTTCACCCCTGCAACAATTCCATGTTTTCTCGTGTTTATTTCATGTGTGCATCCTAGCCAACAGTTACTGAAGGGTGTATATTGCCATTGTGTAAAAACCGAAAATATCTAGAAAATGATAGGTTAAATACCAGGTTATTTTTGTGATTAGCAGCCAAATCTATGAGACACAGGGGAAAGTGTTAGGAAGCAAAATCTTCATTGTCCAGTGTAATTGAAATGTCTCCACCTAGTGGCTCAAAGGTCAAATTTTGACCACAAGAACCAAAGTAAAAATGGTGTTAAGTAGAATATGCTGTCTTTGGTTCAGTCTGTATAAGTATTTGTGGCAGCTTGGGACAGACACCCCACTAACTGTTTTTGGAAAAGTAAGATGTTGTTTTAGTTGTTTACAAGTAGTCCTGTACTTACAGCAGTTCATTTAGTGACCATTCAAAATTACAACAGCACTGAAAAAGTGATTTGTGACCATTTTTCACTCTTACGACTCTTATATCAGCCTCATGACCAAGTGATGCTTGGCAACTGGTTCATACTTATGTCTGTAGCTGTGTCCCAAGGTCATGTGATCCCCTTTTATAGCTTTCTGACAAGCAAAGTCAATGGGGAAGCCAGATTCACTTAGCAACCGGGTTACCAACTTATCAACTGCAGTGATTCACTTAACAGTTGTGGCAAGAAAGGTCGTAAAATGGTGCAAAACTCACTTAACAAATGTCTCGCTTCATAACAGAAATGTTGGCCTCAATTGTGATCGTAAGTCAAGGACTACCTGTATAGTTTTCACTTATCCCAGGCACACATTGTTCCCCAATTTATCTATTGGAAATAAAATAATGGAAATGTTTTCTGCTCAGTTTTTATTAAAAGCAAAGTTGCTTCATTCCTTACTGATGTTGGATTTTTGTCCTGGTGCGGAAGTGGTTGCCTTCTTCTGTGATAATTCTCCACTTTTCAATCTAGTTTATAGCTCTGGGACTTCTCAGTTGCTGCCTACTGCACTCAGTTTGCATTGTGCACAACTAATTTGATATATACTAACATCGCTGAAGCCAGTCCTGTATCCTATTGTGCTGCTTGGTAATGCTCTATTTGCATGTATCTGGGTCTGATTGACAGTTTTGCTTCCAGGAACCCTTGATGGAAGAGTACAGCATTGCCACACAGGTTTGGAAGCTCAGTTCCTGCGATATGTGTGAACTTGCACGGAACAGTGTGCTCATGAGTGGCTTCTCCCACAAGGTAATGTAGAATCTTCTCTGAAAGGGATTGACTTCAGGCTATGACCTCCCAAAATAATGTTCCGAAGTTCAAGGGGAGAGGGATTTACAGAGACATTCATCTGAACCAGCCTGTTCAGTGTAGAAGACATAATACCTACTGTAGTGACCTTACTGAGTCATTACAATACACAATTAATCCCAAACAAACCTATTTTATTGTAACAGCAACCTTTATCTTCTTTGACACCCTGCCAAAGGCCTTACTTGGCAAAACCCCACGGAGTTCAGAAACAAACAAGAGATGCCAACTGGAAACAGAGTTAGCAACATTGCTTTTCTGCAAAAGGCCCAAGTGCCTTTGTTTCTTATGGGAGGGGCCAATCATCTCCTAGCCTTACTCCCGAGTCGTCCCTTTTGCTTTAGCTGCTCTTGCCTTCTGGCAGCTCTGTGCATGTGTGCACTAGGAACAGGTTCCTCCTGTTCCTCTGCCTCTCTGCTGTTTGACTCTGGGGGCTCTGGAGTCCGCACATCACTCCCAGATGGCCCTGGCCCCATCTCTGCCTCCGACACAGAGCCCTCGTCCGGGCCTTCCCCAGCCTCCTCACTGTTCGACTCTGCTGCCAGCTCGGCAGGCTCCTGGTGGACCACAACACCTACATGCGGCCTCCTCTTCAATCAAGTCTGTACTCAAGGGAAGGAGATCTCTTGAGGACTAATGTTGAAGAGAGCATATCCAACGCCTCCCTTCCCTTGATTCCATCTGCAGCAAAAGAGCAGCCTTTGTTCTGAAAGCGTCATGGCAGTTCTGGGAAATTAGGCTGGAAATGAATCCATTTTATGCTGGGGAGGTTGTATATAAAGACCTCTGCAGATTTCACCAGGGAGGTAGCCACCCTCCTGATTATGAAGTTCAAAAATAATTAGTCTTAAAGATGCAGTGGGGGAGTTCAGAATGCCAGTATCTGCCTTGCCCCTTTTTTCTTTGGCCTTCCCTTCTCCCGTGTACATAATAGCTGCCATTATGTTCTCACTTAATATGCTCAATCCTTATTAGACTGATTTTAATTTTTCCGTAGGTTCCCCCCCCCCCCCCCCCACAAAGGCTGTTTCTACATTGCCAAATCCTTGTTCTAAGTTTAGGGCAGCTTGTTGTATGTGGATGCCAGGGAATTAGTTATATTAACAGGGCATACTACACCTTGATACATCTTGTAAAATTCATGGAGGCATTCAACTCTTGATCAAAATCCCAGTGAAACTTAACACATTAATGTGCAGCAGTAAGAATAAGATGGATATTTAAGGCCTTTTCTCTGATAGTTTTAACAACTCCAAATGAGCAGAAAGCAGAAATGCCTATCCCAAGACTTTTATCTTTGCCATTGTAATACCACTGTGCCTCTACTAAGGTATCTTGTTCTCATGGACTGAATGAAGGGTAACTTTTCTGGGGGGGTGGGGGATGCTATTGAGCCATTTGTGCACTAAAGTGAACATAAGGTGAGAATTTAAAACCCATGAGTAATGTTATTAGTTTGCATGTGAGAGAGATAGAGAAAGGAAGAGGGAGATATAGTTGGTGCTAGCTCTTGTTTTGTTTTTTTTAAAGGATTTATTTATTTATTTATTAAATTTAGACTGCCCATTTCACTCCCAGAGCGACTATGAATTATACCGTATCCTTCATTAATGTTTTTGGCTTTGAATGTCCAGGTGGAAAACATAGGCTGCTCTTTGGCTTAACCCTGGATTGATTTCTGCCTTTGTTCCTCAGGTGAAGAGCTACTGGCTTGGACCCAACTACCTGAAGGAAGGGCCAGAAGGCAATGACATCCGTCGTACCAATGTGCCAGATATCCGGGTAGCCTATCGCTATGAGACACTTTCCCAGGAGCTGACTCTCATCACCCAGGCTGTGCAGACAGAGATGCTGGAGACCATCCAGGAAGAAGACCTTCTGACTATGAGCTCTATCCGGGATACTTGCTGAAAGAGACTCGTTCATAATCGGTCTCCCTTTCAGCCCCACACTGGCTTGACAAGATGGGTCTGTTATGTGAGCACAGAGAGAGCCTGACCATCCACCTCCCTCATCCCAGAGACTTTTCTACTTTTCTGTTGTGTGTGTGTGTGTGTGTGTTTCCTTCAGTATCTCTTGGAAATGTTTCCATGATTTCTTTGCACTTGGTAATCGGCTGGGGCCTCCTGGAAGATGAATAGTTAGAAGTGTCTCCAGGGTCCAGATCCAGGAACCAAGGAAAGCATCTGTAGTGTGAATGGAAAGGCTGGTCAGATCGATTGACAGCCAAGGCCAAAGAGGTAAAAAGGAACATGTGCCAGTTCAGTACAGAATAAATTCTGGAAGTCCTGACATTTGCCCAGTAGCAAGAAGAACCACCAGCATGTCTACATGTATCCTGAGCAACATCTGCCAGGGCCAAAGTCTTCTGGGGGTGCCTTGCGCTACCTCACTTTTGTTTTAGGGGGTTCCCATTGGCTGGTCAAGCACCTCTGAGTGGCTGGAACCAGTCCTGCCTTTTGCCATCAGGGCAAAACATTGTCAATCCCACCAGGCAGGAGCCTCCATTTTTCAGTTTTAAGCTCTAGCACGGTGTTTTTCAACCTTGGCAAACTTTAAGATGTCTGGACTTTAACTCCCAGAATTTCCCAGCCAGCATGATATCTTAAAGTCATGACATGTAGGCATCTTAATGTTGTCAAGATTGAGAAACACTCTCTAGTATGAAGTGGGGCAAAGGACAGATTTCCTTTCCTTTCAAAGCCCAATAACGTTTGTCTTTTCCGGCTCAGGGAAAGCACTAACCTTTGATTCCCTCCATCCTTTAAAGGTGAACGACTGTGTGCTGTCAGGGGCAAAGTGGACTTGAGATAATAAAGGTATTGTTGTTAGCATGCCAAATACTGGGTTTTTAAAAAATTGTTCTGTATCTTTTGTGAAACTCTTGGTCTCCCTCTACAACCAAGCATTATAAAAGAAGTTTGATGCAGTTATTAATGTAGCAAGGAGATTGAAGATGATTCTGGCCCTGAAAAAATAACTCCTGGAAGAAAGCCTTGGAGCCAAGATACTTGCCTAGCATGGAAGGAGTTTATGATAAATTATTATGATGGTTATTAATTATATATCAGATTCAAAATGGAGATGATGGACATCTGAGATTAGTTGTTTTTAAAGCAAACTTTTAAGTAATTTTAAGGCTTGATTGGATCAGTGACACTCATCAGCAATTGGTGTGGGAAGATATGTGGAGTTGCATTAAGCCATTTATTGGGTCTAATCTACTTTCCCAAAGTTGCTACTAGCTCAGGAATGATAGCATTTTGTTCCCTAGGGAGTTAATGGTGCAGTTACAGGAGGAGAGGGTGTTAGAGCAGAATCATTATCTATGGGTTTATACACTCTGGCAGTGTTGCCCCAGTTTTTGGACTGCTTCTTCCTTCAGCTGTTTTAAAGTTTAGGTTTTTTTCGGGAGGGTTCCCCATGTTGGGGGATCATTCCCACCATGTCTGGCAGCCATGTCTGATGTAATGCCTGATGCAGAAGCTCCTGGGAGATGAAAACTGTTCTGGACTGGTTATAATGCAGCAGATTCAAACTGCTTGTTATGCTATCTCTTTCACTTTCTGACAGCTTTTGACTCTCGTGCTACTTTTAATACTAGTAGGCTATTGTCATCCTATTAATGGTTGTTGTGCCATCAGTCATAATTTGGAAATCGCTTGTGGGCCTCTCTCCTTAGGTAGGAAACCAACTTCAGACTGTGCTCACTCTCTTCAGGTTCTTAGACAAATGTTATGTCTATAAAAAAGACAATTCTTGCTCCCAGTTGCTGCCAGTAACATGCGAGCTTACTATTTGGAAGCAGATCCAGTACAAAGGGAAATACATTGGTTAAACTTGAGGTGAGTAGATAGCAAGGAATGCTTCTAAAGTGAACCGGAAGCTTGTGATGCCCTCCTTCTAAATTTGACTACCTCAACTTCTCCAGATACATTGGACTGAAGCTCCCATAATCCTCAACCAGCGTGGCTGCATGAAGTTGTGCTCCAGCACAATTAGAAGTGAAAACCGCTCTAGGTGGCTGTGGCCAAATTCTGAGGGTCATAACAAATGTCTGCTTAAAGATATTCACGAAGTGCACCAAGACTAAATAGGCTGCTTTTTTCATGTCATGTGTGGAAGAAGCATTTTGTTACAGTTTGTGTCATTATTTTGAGGGTCACACATCTAAGAAAAAGGAGCCATTCTTTAAAGCCTGTCTAGTTGGTCTTTCATCTTCATGACACAGCATGGTAATTCCCTTCCCTTCCCTTCCCTTCACCCCATCCCCCATTGCTGTCTCCCAAGCTGTTTTGCAATAGAGCTGTCTTGCATTTGTTTCAGCCAGCATGGATGCCTTGTTAATCTAAGGGTTCCAGGGAGAAATGGTATAATCAGTTGAACTGAAGTGAAACGTAAACTGCCTCCCTGCTTCATCTCTCATTTTCTTCCTTTCTCCTTGCCATTAATCTGCCTATTGGTACATCATGTTAGTTTTTGCTTTGGTGTCAGAATTGAAGCTGGTATTCCTTTAGCAATCACATGTATCATCCTCTCACTTGGCTATTTTATGTACCTTGGATGAAACTCTATGCTTGTCTGTGCTGTTAGAAATCTTCTGGAAATAAGAGCATGATCCACCATTAAAGATTATTTAAGTAAACTGAGTCTTTGTACTTCTGATTGAAACAATTTCCCCTCCTTGTTTGGCTTCCAGGCAGATAATAAAATCATTTTTTTCTCCAAGGGTGGATTTTGAAGGAGGAGCATTCATCCTCTAGGAAGCAGTTATCTCTAGAGGCCAAAATTGTTTTTTGTTTTTCTTATATAAGCTTGAGTTTAATAGTTTCTTTGCACACCTGTCTGTCTTTTCTAGAGTGTTTCCACACAGGGCAAAGGCATTGGGAGATAGGCTGTTTTCCTTAATCCATGTGAAGGTCTGCATATGTGTTGCTCTGAATGGCCCTAATGAATACCTACACCAAAAAAAGTGCTAGTGCTTCATAGATATGGGAAATAATTTGCTTACATAAGAAAACAAGCTTGGTAATAAAAACAAAAGCCTGGATTTCTACCTATTGGTGTTCAGCTTCTGCCATGCCCTATTAAATGGTGCTGTTAAAGCTTCAAAGAGAAGCAAATGAATGTGTAGGTATCTATTAACTATCTTGCTATGAATTCCTCCCACCAGAAATCATTCATACCAAGGGTTTTTAACCAGGTAAGAAAAAGGATCATGAATTTAATAATTTCAAGAACATTTCCAAGTTGAAAAGAAATTGAGTAACATATGAACAGAGGCTTCCTGGCAGCTGAAGACAACAAACTTGTTACACACAGTTGTAGGTACTATTGCTAATGGAGATAAGGGAATATTAGGGCAGGTCTGAATCCCTCTTTCAAATAGATTAAGTTGCAAGATAATAGTGGCTGTCAAATCATTGGTCAGGCTTCATGTCTACTGGTTTAGACCAATATTGTCTAATGCAGTGTTTTTCAACCTTGTCCCCTTGAAGATGGGTGGACTTCAACTCCTACAATTCCTCAGGCAGTTTTGCTATCTGGGGAATTCTGGGAGTTAAAGTCCACCCATCCTCAAAAGGGGCCAAGGTTGAGAAACACTGGTATAACATAATTGGCAGTGTCTCAAAGGTGCTTTTTTCAAGAGACAACTAGACTTTCTGGTTTTTCTTTGAAGACGTTTTGCTTCTTATCCAAGAAGCTTCTTTAGAGCTGGAGAAGCTTCTTGGATAAGAAGTGAAAGGTCTTCAAAGAAAAAACAGGAAGTCCAGTTGCCTCTTGAAACAGCACCTATGGGACAACCATTGACCTGGATGACTGAGAATCTCCATACGTAATTGGTAATGCCTCTCCATGATTCCTGCTTATGTACTACCTGACCTTGTCATCAGAATATCTCAGAACATGAATTCAAGTCTGCATTCACACAAAGATCGAGCTCTGTTACCAATAGGTAGATTTCCATGTACTTTATTGGGCAAGTAAGCCATTGTCTTGAAACTATTAACTACCTGCTATGATAAACTCAACCTTCTACTATTTATTTATTATTTTATTTTATTTTATTTTATTTTATTTTATTTTATATTTTATTTTATTTTATTTTATTTTATTTTATTATTTTATTTTATTTTATTTATTTTATTATTTTATTTTATTTTATTTTATTTTATTATTTTATTTTATTTTATTTTATATTATTTTATTATTTTAAGGACTCAGGGCGGTGTACAGCCTAATTAAAAACACAAAGACAGACAAAATTTAAAAATAATTAAAATTATTAAATAATAGGCTCAATTTGTAATACCCCAAATTTAAAATCCCATTTAAAACCAATTAAAAATCTTTACATTGATAGCCCAGCCTGGCGGAAGAACATGGTTTTGAGGGCACAGCGAAACACACGGAGATCAGAGATTTTACGAATTTCTGGGGGCAGATCATTCCAAAGGGCAGGGGCTCCCACAGAGAAGGCCCTCCCCCTGGGTGTTGCCAGCCGACATAATTTGGCCGATGGCACCTGAGGAGACCCTCTCTGTGGGAGCGAATTGGCCGGTGGGAGGCTACTGGAAGCAGAAGACGGTCTCGAAGGTATCCAGGTCCAATGCCATGGAGCGCTTTAAAGGTGGTAACCAACACCTTGAATCGCACCCGGAAGACCACTGGGAGCCAGTGCAGCTCGCGCAGGAGGGGTGTCACGTGGGCACAACGAGTTGCGCCCATAACCATACGAGTTGCGCCATACTAATGCAACTTCCTTCATTTGCTATGTGATTATATTGACAATCTGTGTAGCAGTTACTACCATTCTATTATTATTTTGACCAAACATGACCTTGGAGTTAAAGGGCTGATATTGAGTCCAAATCAGTTGTGGTATTGCAGACTCATGCAAGTTGCTTAGGGCTTATTCTTAATACTCCAACTATAAAGGCAATATTATGTACAAATTGGGAAATGTTCCACAAATTTAAAAAAAGTTTCGTAAATAATAAAAGGGAGAGACAAAGTTTTTTTGGGGGGGGAGATGGCAAAATACTGTACCAGTAATGACCAGAAGATGGAGTTACAGCCCAAAAATAAACCTAGGAGGAAGCGGAAGAGACATTATTGGAGAATAGTAATTGAACGGTGAACCAGTTAAATAAATTGAGAAAGGAATATTGGAAATTATCTGGGAAATAGATATTTAAACCATGAATCAGTTAAACAGCTGGTCTAATAGAATTTGAGAATAAATTTGAAGTATTAAGGTAAAATATTTTGGAAGTAATAAAATATAGAAAAAAATTTTGATTTATTTCAAAATGATTTTAAGAGAGGAGGAAAATATTTTTTGTCAAGAATTGGATATCTGTTGTCATTTAAGAGAGATAAAATATAGTTTTGAGGCAATGGATTTTAGGATTGAGGAATATATATGAAATATTAATTGTTAAAATGATAAAGTTTTAGAACGGTGTTTATTGTTTAGAATTTTGGGTGTTATAGTAGAATGATAAATGTTTAGAATAAGAATTTTGTCTTTTTTTATTCTTTTTTTTCCTTTTTAAAGATTTTAAAATTTGGAACAAAATTGATTGAGGGAATGTGAATAATTGTACTTATTTTAAGCCGGATCAAACCTCTGCTCTAAAAAGATGTATTTTATGTTTTATGCTAAAAAAATATAAAAAATTGGGGGAAAAAATGCAAATAATATCTATGGACCACCAGTTGGTGACCGCGGATCTAAACAGTTTTAGTATCAAGAGACTTGCTAAAGAAGCACACAAACACAAAGAGACTTATGTATGCACAAAGTTGCTTATCCTGGCATATACTGTATGTAGAGTAGATAGGTGCCAATTATGAGAATTAAAAAAATATTCTGCCTCTCCCCATAATAGGGAAGAGGGAAACCAGTTTAGATAACATATCTAACTTGACTTTGGTGAGTATAAGTATTGCAAAGTTTGTCAGGTGTAATGGCAATACTGTTCATTATATTTCCATATTAGAAAGTTCTTAACTGTTGAATTTTGTCTGCATGAAACTACAAAATTTACTAAAGTCCTGCTTTATCCAGTATTAATCAATAGGCAGGTTAATCAGTAGAAATCTGCCTCCGGATCTCTCTCCGGATGCAAGTTCGGAGGAGGAGTCAAGAGAAGAGAGCGCGGAGCTGCATGAGGACTCAGATCGGGGTTCGGTGGGTGTGGAGTAGTGGTGGGTTGCTCCCGGTTTGGTCCGGTTCTTGTGAACCAGTAGTAACGGCGACGGGAGGCTCTGCCCACCTGCCTGGACATAATCATGAATGATCTGCACAGAAAAGCAAGTGTGCACGCCCTCCCATGCAAACCGGTAGGGGAGGTAAGTAGAACCCACCCCTGGTGTGGGGCCAGCTGAAAAGCGACAGTCGGGTTGATCAGATGAGCGACAGGCTGAGCCCAAGCGTGGTCCATGCGAGTGTATGGGAGCAGGACAGCACAGTGGGATAGGATAAGTGTCATCGTCTGTGAAAGGTTCATTTGTCATCAGTGAACCTAGGCGAGCAGTAATGCATTCAAGGCAAAGCTAAGAATATGTTCTGCCCCAGCTAGGGATCCCAAAGAACGCAGCACACACGAAGTCCGTTCAAACCTTAGTTTACTGAATAAACCAGTCTTTTAGAACAACGACTGTTAATTAATTGCATTAACAGCCACCAAGAATTCAAAGAATAACTGAAAGCTTACTATGGTTGGCAGAATGCCCAGAAGCAATTTGCAGGAAGCTGATAAGATAAGCAAGACAAGACACGAAGGTATGTGAACTAAGTTGTTCCCTGCAAATTGCTTCAGTTGGTATTCCTCCTTAAATAGACTAAGGGAGTGGCCAATTAGCCCCAAGCCTTATTCTCGACCTCCTCCTGAGGAGCCACTCCTGCCTTTTGGCAGCTCTGCGCGCCCGTGCATCGAGAAGAGGCTCCTCCTCTTCATCCTCTTCACTTAAGGGAGCTTCTGGAGATTCTGAAGGCCCTGGCTGAATCCTCACCTCTGGCACCACATCTTCTCCAGCCTCCTCATTGTCCGACTTGAGTGCCAGCTGCACAGGCTGCTGGCGCAGCACCACACCAGTCTCCTCACTGTCTGAATCAGCTACTAGCTGCACAGGCCGCGTACGGGCCACAACAGAATAGTAATTTAGAGCAGCCACTTTCAGCCTCAGTGGAAATCCTGAAGCCAGCATGGAAAACCAACTCCAACAGGACAGGCCTTCCCTGAACTTCCAAAGCTGCTATGGAGTCCAAGAGTTCAGTATGATGGATAGAAAGTAATAGAAAGAGGAGGAAATGGCCTTGAAGGACAGGAAGAAGAGCTGCTACCAAGGCAATGGTCAGATAAAAGGGGCTCAAGTCCAGGCAAGTGTGAATAAACATCTCAGACAAGCCCCTCTCTAATTCACACAAAGATAAAGGGAGGGAGGGAGAAGCATATTCAGACATGCGAGATTCTGCTACTATACATTACAATCAAAGTAGTTCTGACCTACGGTAAAGAACTTTGACTTCCTAGACCAGGGGTCTGCAACCTTAAACACTCAAAGAGCCATTTGGACCCATTTCCCACAGAAAAGAAAACATTGGGAGCCACAAAACCCTTCCTGTGCCTGACTATTTCTTGAGCGGCCACAAAACTAGCATATGTAGTTGAATTAAATATTCTGTTTTCTTCTGAAACTTTTCTTTTCTTGGATTTATCCATGGTTGGCCTACCAGGTGTTGAAAAGCTCAATAAATCAGGTGCCGGCGGGTGTCACACATTGGTGGTTGTGACGCATATTTTGAGTGACAGGGAGCCACAGCAGAGGGGTGAAAGAGCCACATGTGGCTTCAGAGCTGCAGGTTGCTGACCCCTGTCCTATGCTATTTAAATCAACATGAATCCTCTGGGGAAGATAACTAGTCATCTAAAGCTTTGAGTTCAATGCCACTAAAGTGTGGGTGATACCCAGTTGTACATCACCTTGACCCAGTAAATTTTGGCAGCAATTATCCATATTTTACTTCCATTCTGTCTTGCGTACTGTAGCAGCCAATAGTGCAGATCTTGTTACTTCCATCATCTTTATCTTTGATCTGGATCTTGTTCGGTTGTGGTTCAGTGCCCCAAAGCCGCAGGTTGCTGATCCCTGTCCTAGACTGTCTACTTTGAACCTCAAAGCTCCGAGCTGCATGCCCATATAAGGTTTAAAAAAAAGGATTTTGGCCTTTTCTCAAGACAATGGCTTTAGGGAGGAGGAGGCAGAAGAGTGAAAGAGAGGTTGCAGTGCAATCCGGTCTTGACATGTCAACCTTAAATGAGAATAACCTTTGTTAATAGTTAACGTAATTGCATTTTGCTGAAGCAATATCAAAACTATGTTTCTGTATGTTTGCTGTTTTTGCAACCACATCTCCATCTTGCCTAATCTGCTCAGGTGGATTTGCATTAACCATTCATATCTCTGCTTACAGTTCCTAATTTTGATACAAGTCAGTGGACTAGTGTGAAGAGAAAAGGTGGGCTTGGACAGACAAAATGTATGAATGTTTTTGTGTTCAGTGTTGCCTTAAGATGAAAATGATTTCCTTTAAATGATTGCCCAAAAGCAGATACCATATTTTCCGGCGTATAAGACGACTGGGCGTATAAGACGACCCCCGAATTTTCCTGTTAAAATATAGGGTTTGGGCTATACTCACTGTATAAGACTACCCCTCTTCCAACGCACACCAAATAAAAATTAAAAAACATCAGCTGGCTCACCCACAATGTAAAAGCAGCTGTGCTAGACCCAAAATGGCCCCTGCAACAAGCAGGAACCTCACACAGCCACAAAAAGCCCCCCAAAAACTACTTTCACACTTTACACACACACAACACAACACAACTGGCTCACCCACAATGTAAAAGCAGCTGTGCTAGACCCAAAATGGCTCTGCAACAAGCAGGAACCTCACACAGCCACAAAAAGCCCCCCAAAAAACAACTTTCACACTTTACACACACAAAATTCCACATACAGCTTTGTGAGATTTTGTGTAGTTTGTGTTTGTGTAGTTAGAGTGAAACACTACAAAAACACACTAAATCTCAGAAAGCTGCACAAATATTATTTTATTTTATTTTTATTTTTATATGAAAGCTAAATTTAAAACTTCCTAAACTTTAAATGGCTAGGTCTAAAAAAGAACAACTTAAAAGAAACCCTAATTAACTATTTTTTTTAAAGATCCCAAAGGGGGAAAAAACTTACCCAATAGAACAGAGGTCTCCAACCTTGGCAACTTAAAGACTTGTAGACTTCAACTCCCAGAATTCCTCAGCCAGCAAAACAAAGCTGACTGAGGAATTCTGGGAGTTGAAGTCCACAACTCCCTGCCTGCTTGATTGCTTGCTGATGGAATAGATTCAGGCAAGCGAAGCAAGGCAAGCGTTGGGACTAGCAGCTAAGGTAAGCAAGCTGGAGGGGGAAAACTTTTTTCCTTTTACATGGCGCTGGCGATCCCAGCTGAGTTGCCTGATTAGCAGATCGTCAGAGCTTGGATCGCCAGAGCCATTTAAGGCTTGTCAGAGCCTTTCGGGCTGGTCTGCCTGGTTACAGGAGAACAACACCGGCGTATAAGACGACCCCCGACTTTTGAGAAGATTTTCATATGTTAAAAAGTCATCTTATACGCCGGAAAATACGGTACTTATTTTTGCAGAACACTGTTTTGCCACAGATAATGAAATGGCCAGGCTGGTCATGATGGAGAAGCAGTTCACAGATTTCCAAATAGCCTTGCAAAGTTGTGCTCCAGTCCAGATTTTGGGTTGTGTTTTCCGTCTCTCTTCTGTCTCCCTTCTCTCCCTATCAAAATGGTATCAGACTGTAACAGATGATCTGAAGATTAGGTTGGGGGAAATTTTGAGGTGAATGGGTAAATTGCACAATTGATCAACCCTCTATTTCTGGGGGTAGGAAGGTGAGAGAAAAGTAGATGTCTGTGGAGATTCTCAGTCATCCAGGTCATAGTTGTCTCAAGTTATTAAGACGAGGGAAGAGAGCAGGAAGGAAACCAAGAGGCCTAGAAATAGGTAGGTTAAGATTTCATAACAACTTTCTGGAAACCAGTCAGTATGTAAATTTCATTTTTTTTAAACAGGAAAGAAAAAGAAACCTGAATATTTGGATTTAATGCCAGGGAGTTCAAGTTATACTCTCAATTTCTGGAAAACAGATATGTGTGACCAACAGAGAATCCATGACATCTGACACATTTTATTGTTCCATTTAAATATTTTTGTATTATTAATTTCACTTATTTATTTCATTGCATATACATATACACACACGGACATACACACGTGTGTGTGTGCATGTGTATGTTATACACCAGGGATGAAATGCTCCCGGTTCGGACCAATCCCATAGCGATGGCGGCCGGTGGTTCGGAGAACCAATAGCAAAAATCCCTGTGTGTCCCCCCCCACATGCCCAGCTGAGCCACACAATCATCAGAGGCTTTTTTTAAAAAAAACTTTTCAAAGCATTTTTTTCCTGCAACCTCTTCGGCCAAAGAGGTGGTAAAAAAATGCTTTGAAAAGCCTCTGAGGATCCCAGTTGTGTTGCCTGATCGGCAGAGGCTTTTCAAACATTTTTTCCTGCAATCTCTTGGGCCAAAGAGGTGGTTAAAAAAATGCTTTGAAAAGCCTCTGAGGATCCCAGCTGAGTTGCCTGATCTGCAGAGGCTTTTCAAAGCATTTTTTTTTTGCAGAAAAAATGCTTTGAAAAGTTTTTTTAAAAAAGTTGGCCACGCCCACCCAGTCACATTACCCCCCCAAGCCACGCCCACAGAACCGGTAGTAACACATTTTACGTTTCACCCCTGTTATACACACGCATACATGTGCCTATCATATCTATATCACTCTTAACAAACATTTCCTCCACCCCCCCCAAGACTCAAGTTCAGATTCTTACAGTGTGTAATGATATTGCTGGTTAATAACAAAGATTTTTCTTGGAGAGGATGTTTGCCTGCATAATTTCAGGTTCTTTCATAAAGATGGTTATCTTCTTGGAAAGTGTTTTCCTTGTGCAAATAGGAGCCTGAGTGGAGTAGGAGGCTAATGCCTCCTACTAAGGCAGCATTTAACATCCAGCTGCCTGCAATTACTGCGAGTTCAATTCTCACCAGGCTCAAGGTCGACTCAGCCTTCCATCCTTTCTAAGGTGGGTAAAATGAGGACCCGGTTTGTGGGGGCAATAAGCTGACTTTGTATAAAATATACAAAAGTATGAAGGCTATTGCTTAACGCATTGTAAGCCACCCTGAGTCTCCGGAGAAGGGCGGCATATAAAAATAAATAAAATAAAATAAAAAATTAAACCACTACTAGTACCCTCTTGTAGTGGTGATGGGGGATGGTTAAAAAAAACCCTAGAGACTTCATTCACACAGGCTTCCCCCCCCCTCTCCAGTACTCCCGACTGTTTCTTTCGTTTACACCTCAAGTTATTTTTCTTTATAGGGATAATCGTTTATCAGGATAAGCCCAGAGCTAAAAATTTCGGAAACGAACCGTTAAGGCGTCGAGAGGCGTCTCTTAGGCTCGAACGAAGTGGGTCCGGCGTAGGTGACCTGAAGAGAGGGGCTTCTTTGAAGCTGATTGACGGTTCGGAAGAGAAATCGGGTTTGGCGAGTAAGGGGCGGGACAGATAACCCGCCACCTGATTGTCCGCACCTCGGGGAAGGCTTTCCCACCAGCGCTTTGCCTGTGTTGGGACTCGCCACATCCTCCTCATTGGGCCGTTCCTCCGCTTGAGTATAAAAGCAGAGATCTGGGGATCTCCGGGGTTGCGAAAGGGAGCGGGGTCGTTTCTGCTTGCCACGAGAGACAGCGCCGAGCACGTCTGACGGCCCCAGCCAAGAAGATGGAAGCCACGCTGGGCTACTGGAATATCCGAGGGGTAAAGAATCCGCGTGGAGGGAGGCGGGCTGGCCAGCAGGACCCGACCGGCCTCGCTCCTGCCCAGGACTCGGCGCTCTCCGCCTTCGGATCGATCGAGGCCAAGAGGCTGCAGGCGGGTGGGCGAAGCCAGGCGGGCAAGAAGCGTTTTCTCGACGGCTTCGGCCATCGCTGAAAACAAAGCGGAGAGCTCCGGCGGCGACGGGCCTCTTGCAGCGCGCATGCCCCCTTTCGGGTTCATTCAACCACCGGTGGTAGGAGGATTGGGACCGTTTTGGTTTCCAGGTAGTTCTCGACTTACAGCCATTTCTGTAGTGACCGTTCAAAGTTTCATGGGCACTGGGGAAAAAAGTGACTTATGATCGTTGTCCAGACTTACGAGGGTTGCAGCATCCCCGTGGTCACGTGATCCAAACTTTGAACACTTGGCAACCAACATATAAAACAACTGGCAGGTTGCTACTTACTTAACAACTGCAGTGACTCACTTAACCACTTTGGCAAGAAAAGTCGTAAAATGGGGCAAAATTCATTTCACAACTGCCTCACTTAGCAATGGAAATTTTGGGTGGGCTCAGTTGTGGTTATAAGTTGAGGAGTACCAGTAGTGATTAAAGGATCAGCCTAGGAATCAGGAGACCAAGAGTTCAAGTCCTGCCTTTGAGGGCAGGATGAGAAACCTTGATGGGAGGAATATCAGGAAACCTGCCTGTTTCCTTTGGCCAATCATTTGGCTTAGCTAAACCAGAGAAAATTGCTGCTGTTAGAGGCTCCTGCCGTCAGTTTCCAAACCAACCTACTTGTCTCTCTCTTCTGCTCACAGCAGTCAATTTAGGTGTCTCACTAATGAAGGTGAATATAAACGTCCCAGGATAATGTTGCAGGATCCAATCTGGGTCCAGACTAGGACCAGAGATTTTGTTTTCTGAGCTTTCGGACTCATGTTGGATGGGCTCCAGCATCAGTCCGAAAGCTTGGAAGAAAAAACCTCTGGTTGGATACTGCAATTTAGGTGTCTGTTGGAAACCTATCAGCAGCACAAGAGTAAAGCAACACATGCTCCTCCTCACTTAATACTGGAAACTAATCGAACTATTTCAATTTTTTATAAGGCTGTCTTAGGGGCAATTATGAGTACCTATGAGTACCTAGTCTTATTTACCATATTCTTTTCCCTGCAGTTGGCTCATTCCATTAGACTGCTCTTAGAGTATACCAAGACCCCCTATAAAGAGAAACGGTATGTTCTCGGTGGAAAAGGTAAGGAACTAAACAGAGGTCTTGAACTTCAAGAAGGCTTGACTTAACTTTCTAGGAGAAGGATGCTGGGCTCACCAGAGTATTTTCTGAACTGGCATGTTGGCTTTTTCCAGGCTTAGAAATGTTGAGCAAATATTGGATATGTCTTAGCAGATTTTAACTTAGCAAATTTTAAACGATTCAGCAAACACCCAAAGCAGCGCATCCAATTTTCAAGTATTAGAATTGCTTGAAGAAACAAAAGCTACTTGGTATCGGTAACACAAATAAACTTGCCAAAGATTTACAATTTCTATTTTTTGCTATTGCTGATTTAGATACACGAATAAGAACAAAATGTCTGTTAATCTGTTCCAATGGCTACTCTATAAATATTTGTTGTTCTTAAACTCTGGTTACATATTTGTTTAAAATTGGTGTGATTGCTTTAATGCTCACTTGAACCTAAGCACCGCATAAACAAATCAACTGCCTTTCTTGTTCCCATTAAGTTTCCACCTTACCCCCAGGTCAAAAGTGGCTTAAGTCATCATTAGCTTATCAGTATAAAAATAGTATTTTCCCCTTATTTTGACACTGCCCAGTGACAAAATCAAGGTGTGTAAAGCTTTGGCATTCATTCCCTGGGAGGCAAATTCAAAGTTGACTCTTTCTACTGTAAAAACAGTCCACAATTGGGACCAGCAAGTCAGTCATTAAGCAAATTGGTTGCTAAGGGAAATTTTGATTGTTCTTATTTTTTTTTTTTAATTTGATTTATATGCCGCCCTTCTCCGGAGACTCAGGGCGGCTTACAATGCGTTAAGCAATGATCTTATGATCTTACTTCAGCTTTCCTTTGCTTTAAAGACCTGTGAAGGTTGTAAATGCGAGGACTGATTGCAAGGTTAAGTTTTCATCACTGTTATAACTGTGAACAATTGCTAAATGAGGATTACCTGCATGTGTGAATGCAGATGTGTTTGGGAGTTCAAGGAGAGCTTACTCACTCTTCTCTGATCCCTACCCAGCCCTCCATGGCTCCACCCAGAATATCTGTCCTGCCTTTGCCCTTTCCCCAGTAACATTTTGTTTCCTGAGTTCCTTTCATATCCGTCACCAACTCCTACCCAATTTTTCTCCAGGAGGCAGAGTGTACAGTAATCTACATTATTCTCAAAATGATGATTGTGCCATCATCACAATTACTGGCCTTATTATTTGCATCCCAATATCTGATGCAAGTATGTTGACTTGTAACTTGCATTTTTGTCCTTGCCCCTTTTCCCCTGCTGCAAATTCTCATGTCTTCAGGTTTTCAATAAGGTGCGGGAGACTAGAATACACCAGTCTCCATCGCACTTAGGAAAGAATATAAGGAAACATTGTGCTTATTTGCCAGTTTCCCTGTATTTGCCAGTTTCAATCATGTTCCACCTGACTTCAAATGAGAAAGTTGGTTGTCCAGGATCAAGTCAGAGTTTCATTTCTACTGGACAGAATCTAGATAGTTAGCTGTGGCTGCTGCTTTTCTATATGGTTCTTTATCTTACTGTATTTCTCTCTTGGGAGTTGCACGCTGTAAAAAACCAGTTTAGAGAAGCTTGAATCCCAAAGATAGACCCAAGCTATTCTGGCTCCAGTGATCAGATTGAGAGAGATACCTTCTGCTAATTGAAATTCATATTCTTGATTGAACATATTGAAAGGAGATAGCAGCAAAACCAGAGAAAAAGCTTCTTGTCGTGAGTTGTACACTCACGGATCAGGGTAATAATTAGCAATGTTTTGGAAGAGATATTCTAGACACAGAACCAGGATTGTCAATGGGGCAGTAGAAATTTTGCAGGCACTGATTTTCTCTGACAGTGGATGAAGTAGGTTCACCGATAAAATCGTGACCCATTCATAATGGATCACTTTTCCTGCCCCCACCCCTCAAGTTGGCCCAAGAAGGTGAAATGAATGCAGAATGAGGTTTTTAGTTTCAAGCAAAGTTGACAACTTGGGATACCATAATCACTTGGTTAGGTATTATTTGTAAAGGCATCTTCCTGGGAAAATGTATAAATAATAATGACCATTGTTGGAGTAGTTGTGGGAGGGGGGTTGTTTCATTTTTAGAAAGAAATTGTATCCTGGACAAACAATGGGTGAAATCATAGTATTTAGAGGCATGCAAAAAGTACATTTAATGCCTGTACATTTTATATTGTTTAAGCTGTCTATTCAATATTTGCAAAATAGCATATATAATACAAATACATATATATTGATAAGTATACAATTGTATCTTAATGTGCATATCTAAATGCTGATGACTGTTATTTAAATATAAACATAATGTATCTTACCCTAGTGGAAAACAATGAACTGAAATCAAACGTTGGAATGCTTGGCATTGGTGAGTATAGATTGGGAACAAAAATGTTTTTTTTTCTCACTACAGAATACAGAATAACAAAGTTGGAAAGGACCTTGGAGGTCTTCTAGTCCAACCTCCTGCTCAGGCAGGAAACCCTGTACCATTTCAGACAAACAGTTGTCCAATCTCTTCTTAAAAACCTCCAGTGTTGGAACATTCACAACTTCTGGAGGCAACTTGCTCCACTGATTAATTGTTCTAATTGTCAGGAAATTTCTCCTTAGTTCTAGGTTGCTTCTCTCCTTGATTAGTTTCCATCCATTGCTTCTTGTCCTGACCTCAGGTGCTTTGGAGAATGAACTAACTCCCTCTTGTTTGTGGCAACCCCTTAAATATTGGAACACTTGCTATCAAATAAAATAGGGAATCATGTATAAACTGCAATGTATGTCAGATGTAAAAGCACTGGGTCATTCATCGTATTTCCATATTGGAAATATCCTAATAGTTGAATTTGTCTGCCATGAAACTACAAAAGGCAGTAGAACAAAGCTTTATCCAGCTTTAATTAGTCGGGGTGGAGAGGACCTAAGTCTCACCTGCTGTAAAACGAGGACTTCAAGTTTGTCAGCAAGGGAGCAATACTGTGTTCAAGACAACGCTAGGAATACTATTTCAGATTAGCCAGCTTCAGCCTTAGCCTCTGATTCAATAGAAATGGGAAGCATTCCATTCCCAGCATGGAATGGAAAGACCAACTGCAATCAGGACAGGCCCTCTCTGCAGTTCCAGAGCTGCTGGGATGTCCAGGAATTCAATGTGCTGGATGGAAAGGTCAGTGCTGCACCCCCCCCAAAAAAATGAACAATTGATTTTTGGCCTTTTTCTCACAGAATGGCTTTTGTGGAGAGGAGACAGAGCAGTGTGAGAGATGTAACAATGGAATTGGGACTTGACAAATCAACCTGAAATGAGAATGACCTTTGTTGGGATCTGCCGTAATTACGTTTTGCTGTAGAGATGTCAAAACAATGTGTCATATCTCTGCTGTTGTTGCAACCACAAAACCTTCATTTTGCCCAATCTGTTTAAATGGACTTGCATTAACCATACCTGTATCTGCTTACAGTTCCTACTATGGATATGACTGAATGGACAAGTGTGAAGGAGAAGCTGGGCTTGGACTTCCCAAATGTATGTAGCAGTTGTGGACTAGATAGCGGTACATTCCTGTGGGTTGAGAGGGGATACTCAAATTCTGTATGGAAAAAGATGAAAGGACGGGGGGGGGGGGAATTGAGAATGCTATATGTAAAAAGAATGTCTCAGGAGAACAGAATGAATAAGAATATGAGAAATAATTGGATATTTCAGTTTAATCTCGGCAGAACCCAAAAATTATTATTCTGGCCACTAACAACACTGTGCAAAAGTGTTCTATCCTATGCAATGTGTGGTCATAAAATCATGAATTCAAGCCACTCTCAGAAAATCCTCCTCTTGGTTCATTCCTAGAATTTAAGAATTGTTCAAGGGACATGTTTGGACAATTCATAATATCTTTGCATCTTTACTCTTCTTCTTTTTCTTTCTCCCTAGCTCCCCTATCTTATTGACGGTGACAAAAAGATTTCCCAAAGCAATGCCATCCTGCGATACATTGCACGCAAGCACAAGATGTGTAAGTGGTTCAGACTCCCCTTTGGTGTTGCTTTAAAAATGATTTTCTTCGAATAATTGCAGATTCTTAGTTTTGTAGGACCTTGTGTTGCCACAGGTGGTGAGACTGAAGAAGAAACGATCAGGATGGACATGCTTGAGAACCACCTCATGGATTTCCGTATGGGCTTTGCAAAATTGTGTTACAGTCCAGATTTTGTGAGTGTTGTGCTTTCTGTCTTCCTTCAAAATGCTATCAGACCAGGGATAGTATTCACTTACCTTTGCTACCGGTTCAAAAATGTGAGCACGTGTGCCACCTCTGCGCATGCACAGGGCCTTCCGTGCATGCAGAGATTGTCATAAATGGGACGTAATGACATCCAGGTGGATGGCCGGAGCCTCCCACAACCGCCGCTACCGGTTCGCCTGAGCCAGGTAGAACCAGCTGAATACCACCACTGTATCGGACTATAAAAGATGTCTGAAGATGAGTTTGGGCTTGTTTTGGGATGAGTGGATAGATTAATTTGATCCTCTATTCCTGGGTAGGATGGAGAGAGAAAAGTTCTGCATTAGTGATTAAGCTGAGGGAAAAGAACAACAAAAAAAAAGGGAAATTGCTAAATTCAAAGTTTTACAAAGATTTAGCTAGAACCCAGCCTGTATATAATCGTCTCTTTTTGCAGGAAAAACTAAAGCCTGAATATTTGGAATTACTACCTGGGAAACTCAAGCAGTTCTCTCAATTTCTGGGGGACAGGCAGTGGTTTGCAGACAGAAAGGTATTTATGTTCTAGGCAATTTACATCAAACTATGCTATTTGGCACATTTTATTCTTCCATTGAAAAATATTTTCCCACTGTTAATTTTTCTAGCTCACCTACATAGATTTCATTGCTTATGATGCGTTAGATGTACATCAAATGCTGGACCCAAAATGCTTGGATCAGTTCCCAAATCTGAAGGAGTTCCTTCATCGCTTTGAGGTGAAATGCATTCTGCTTTATACATGAATTTCTACCAACAATTACTGAAAGTTTGCAGTAATAAAGTGAATATGATTTTCATTCCAGTAAAGCCAAGGTGTGAATCTAATAGTGCTCAAATGGCACATAAACCAGGATCTTGGCAGCAAAGTCAGCATGCAGCAGTTTAAGGGGAGAAACTGGGAATATTTATTGGGATCTATAGAAAAATGGAGCAATTTACAATTCTCCCAGCTCTCTAATTTCCATACTCAGTAACTGTAATTGCTTTCTTACTTTACGGAAATGTCACATACAACATAATCTTAAAAATCCTTGATAGATAATTTATCCTATACAAAGTTGTTTCAAAGATTGCTACTTAATAGAATAACAGAATAACAGAGGTCTTCTAGTCCAACCTCCCAATCAGGCAGGAAACCCTATATCATTTCAGACAAATAGTTGTCCAATCTCTTCTTAAAAATTTCCAGTGTTGGAGCATTCACAACTTCTGGAGGAAAGTTGTTCCACCGATTAATTGTTCTGTCAGGAAATTTCTCCTTAGTTCTAGGTTGCTTCTCTCCTTGATTAGTTTCCATCCATTGCTTCTTGTCCTACCCTCAGGTGCTTTGGAGATTAGGTTGACCACCGCTTTTGCGTGGCAACCTATGAGATATTGGAACACTGCTATCATGTCACCCCTAGTCCTTCTTTTCATTAAACTAGACATACCCAACTCCTGCAATTGTTCTTCATATGTTTTAGCCTCCAATCCCCTAGTCATCTTTGTTGCTCTTCTCTGCACTCTTTCTAGAGTTTCAGCATCTTCTCCAACAATGCATTGGAGAATTGGGGCAAGAATATTGGAAGGCATTTCTATTTCATTATGGTTTTTCCTTGAAGACGTTTCAGTTCTCAAAAAGATTTGACATACCATGGCTGGCTGAGGAATTCTGGGAGTTGAAGTCCACAAGTCACAAAAGTTGCCAAGATTGGAGACACCTTCCATAATGGATGAAATAGTGGCAAAGGACCTGATCAATTTGTATTTTCTAAAGTTATATCTCCCATATTGCAAACACGTTGCCAATTGAAAGCAAGATAAATATAGCTTTTCAGATGCTAAGCAGAAATGTGTGGTTTTGTTCTGGCTTAGGCTATTGTGCTGTGTAATGACAACACTAGGCAATGACAAATATCCTTCTTTTGGCTTTCTCGGTAGGCCTTGGAGATGATTGCTCCCTACCTGGAATCAAGTCGCTGCATCAGAAGTCCCATCTTTTGGAGTTGTGCCACGTGGAACGGCAACAAAATCTAGAAGAGACCACAGGTTTTAGGAGGGTAACAACTGGAACTGCCATATGAATGAGGGATCTTCATTAGTCCTCCATATTTCCAAACTTGATTATGATTCTAAGGCACGTGTTCACCTAATAAAGAATATAAGAAACTGGGAAAAAAAATAAGTCTGTTTCTTAATCCCTCCTTGGTCTGTTTCCCCACTTTAAATTTGGGCTCCAATGTTGCAGCAAAGGTGGTTGCTTTTTATAACATGAATAGAAAAGTTCCTTAATAAATGGTGCTTAGGTAACCAACTATGTTACTCCATGTCTTTTTCCTGAGACTTGGCTTCCTGTAATAGGGAAAAGGCAGATCAAGCTCATGAGGAGCACTTTCAATCAGAATAGAGGTGGAAGGAACCTTGGAGGTCAACTAGTCCAACCCCCTGCTCAAGTAGGAGACCCTATACCATTTCAGACAAGTGACTGTCCAGTCTTAAAAACCTCCAGTGTTGGAGTGCTCACAACTTCTGGAGGCAAGCCGTTTCACTGGTTAATTGTTCTCACTGCTAGGAAGTTTTGCCTTAATTCTAGGTTGCTTCTCTCCTTGGTCAGTTTCCATCCATTGTCTCTTGTCCTGCCCTCTGGTGCTTTGGAAAACAAGCTGAATCTCTCCTCTTTGTGGCAGCCCCTCAAATACTGGAATACTGCTATCAAGTCCCCGGAGTCCTTCTTTTCTCTAGACTAATCTTTCATACTACTAGTTTTGATTTCCCAGCCTCTACAGTTTAATAAAAGCCATCTGTCTTCACTTATTAAGTCAGAAGCACTGAGAAAAGGAGCAAGCCTCACTCCCCACCCCACCCCCCAGCTGCCCTAGTTCTTGCAACAAAGGAAAAAGATCCTCTTCTCTCTGTGCAGAAAAGAAACAAAAACTAGGCAGGTCGGACAAGAGAAAGGGCATATTGACAAAGTAGCATCAATCCCACCCTGTCTTTGTTCTGAGAGATAAGAAGAAAAGAATTGGATTTGCTAGACGGGCTGAAGCGTCAGAACAAGAGGGAAGGGGGGCTCCGTTTGCCTCTTTAAGGCAGCGAATCGGGTCCCCTCCATCACAGCATGCTTCTTTTATTTTTCATTATTTTAAGCTGGGAGGTGCCAGTGTGGAAGGAGAGGCAAACCAACCAGTCTAGATGGATCAAGGAAAGCTCTGTAACCAGACACTTCCCATTCCTGCTGTAGTACTCTAATGATGGGGGGGGCGGTGTTCACCTTGTTGGCTGGTTGTGAGAGAAAAGTTACTTCTCAATTGCTGTGCCTATTAATGGCTTTTGGAATGGACAAGTGGGTGAGCCAATCAGAAGGCAGCTGATGGGTTTGAATCTCCAGGGCTTTTATGTTCCCTCCCCTAACTGTCACAATTGACAGTATAAAAGGAGATTTTTGACTGAAAACCGTTGGTGGTCCAGAAAGCAGTTCAGAAGGCAGATCAGTTGGCAGTTAGGAGAATTCTGTTCAGCTCTTCTGTTAGAAAACTGTGGGCAGTTTGGAAGTCAGAAGGGCAGATATATATATATCTGACAGGATATTTATTTTTATGTAAATAAAAACATTTATTGTTAACTGCTTCAGAGGCTCATTTGTTAAAGTAGATCTTAATAGAGATAAAGGTTTACGGTACATTGATTTATTTCCTACACGACACTGATGAACTGCAAGACAGTGATGGCAGCAGAGCCAGGGGAGAAAGCTAACCCCCTCACCGGTTGGTCCACTAATACCCTCAGTCTCTTCTGATTAATAACAGCCTGCAACACTGGAAAACTGGGATTCACAGTAGGATTGCTAATTTCATGACAGCAGTGGGTAGATAGTCCTTGGATTCCACAATGGGAAAACTGAGCAGGCAATTTACATTTTTTCCCCAGGGATTGAGAAATCTGAAATCTCTTCCAAAGACTATAAAATGTGCCCCCCACCACACACACTTTTTGGGGAGTGCATGTTATAAAGCTGTTTGGGATACAGCATCTGCTTCTGATGCTGGGACTACCATGGTAAATTAGATGCATAGTTGAATATGATTTATAGAGTTTACCAGCAGTTTAAGATTTAATATAGCAGAAAATATCTCCCCCACTTCCCCCTCCTCCCAACCCCAAACAATTATTTCTTCTAATTGAAGATATTTTTTCCCATAATGTCTTCTAGAATTGTCACAAACAGTTAAAATCATTTTGGTTCTTTCTTTCTCTTTCTTTCTCTTTTTCTTTCTTTCTTTCTTTCTTTCTTTCTTTCTTTCTTTCTTTCTTTCTTTCTTTCCCTTTCCTTTTTTCTTTCCTTTCTTCTCTCTCTCTCCCTCCCTCCCTCCCTCTTTTTTTTTTTTTGCATTTTGCTTGTTCTCTTTAGTCCATGTCATATCTTTGGCTCTGTGCCAAAACATGGTGAAATAATTAACCTCACTGAAATCATGTGCCACATTGTATAAAGTGGTGAGCAGCACTTTATACTGTTCACCAACACTGCTGGCAGACTGTGTCAATGAACAAGGGGAAGGTTGCTAGAGAACTAAACACCACACCAGTTCAAAGAACTCTCTGTCTTGGCTCAGTACTCTTCAATTTCTTCATAAACAATATAGATGAGAGGAGAGATTGGGTACTCATCAAATTTGCAGATGACACCAAGCTGGCAGGAATAGCCAACACTCCAGAAGATAGGCTCAAGATACAGAAGGATCTTGACAGACTATGCCCTATCTAACAAAATAAAATTCAGTGGTGAAAAAGTTAAGGAAAACCAAACGCACGGGTATAAAATAGGTGGTACCTGGTTCAATACTGGTGACTGCAAGAGGGATCTTGGAGCCCTAGTGGAAATTCAAATATGAGTCAGCAGTAGAATCAAGATCATGTGAAGTCTTGGAAGTGTTAGGATTTGTGCAGGCCAGAGTTCTACCGTACAGACCTTTGGATTAAAAATGAAAAGATAGAACAAAGGACCAATGATTCCATTTCAGCTGCTATTAGGCAAGTAGAATCATGCGGATGTGGGAAAAATGAGATACTGTAAAAACAATTTTGAAAATACCCTTCATTTAAAGTGTCACATTAAAGATCAACACGTAGCAACTCTGATTTAGAAAATGCAGCGAAACAGTCAAGCCTGGTTAGAGCACGTCTGCAGGCTATGCAAAAGAAAAGTCAAGATAATGGCTACAATGGTGCAATTGAAGTTCTGCTTCTTTATTTTTAATGTTGCATTACTGAGTTTCGTACCGAATTCACCCCCGCTCTAAGTTCTTCTCGGTCCGCGCACTTGGACGTGGCGTTAAGCAATCATTAACAGCTTCGGGAATGTTAGAAGCGGTTGGCGCTATTTCTCATTCAGCTCTACGGCACAACCAGCAGGCCTGCAAAAAAGGGCCTCTACCGATGGCGGATCTAAGGGGACTTAAAGAGGCAACTTTTCAGAAGAGCCGTTCCAATCCCAGCCAAACTCAAATCCCAAACTCAGCAAAAAGGCGCCCTTCCGAAGGGGCCGAAAGAGCAGCTGCATGTTGCAATGGACGCTTCTGGCATTGGGCTGCCGGCACACCTCACCCACCCACGCCCGGCTGCCTGGTTTGGCAATCGAGGCGGCGCTTGATTCGTTTTCTGAAGCCCCTCCCAGACGGAGTCTACCTCCTTAGGTTGCAGAGCCCCGTTTCCCGCGAAGCGAAGAGTCCGCAGCGTTAGCAAGGGAGCCGAGGAGCCGCCAGCGCCATGCCGATGATTCTGGGCTACTGGGACATTAGAGGGGTGAGTTGCTCGGGCAAAAAAACAAAGACCGAGCTGGCTTTGCTTTCCCCGCTTGCCGTGCAGGACCTGCTGCTCTCTCTCTCTCGCTGCTGCCACCGGCGGGGCTCCAGGTTGGAGCCGAGGCGTGCAGGGAAAGCGGCCGCCTCTCCTGCAGGGCGCCGTTTGAAAAGACGGCGAGATTCCCGCGCCCCAGTAAGGCCTTTCTCTGCCTGCGGGCGAATGGAAGGAGAGGCGGCGTTTCCCGGGCTTCTCCTGACCTTTCTCCGGTTCCCGGCGGGGGCATTGAAAGCCTGGCTGCTTTGCAAGACCAGCTGGGTTTTCTTACAGGCGGCATTTGTTTCACTGGGGAGGGGAGGCCTGCTTCGGTCTCCTGCGCCTGCAGACCGAGTGAGCTCGCTGCCCGAAACGAGGTTTTTTTTTTTCCTCTTCCAGCGGGGCCCCTTCTTTGTCTCCGGGGGAGGAGAGGGGGTGTACCCGACCTATTGAATAAAATTGGCAGTTGGATCTAAATAAACGTTGCCGGAATTGCGGTGCGGAGGGAAGCGATGGTTCACGGTTAAAGCCAGGGGTGAAATCCAAATTTCTTCCCTACCGTTCTGTGGCCGTGGCTTGGTGGTCATGAAGGGAAGGATATTGCAAAATCTCCATTCCCACCCCACTCCAGGAAGGATACTTCAAAATCACCATTCCCTCCTCTCCTGGGGAAGGATATTGCAAAATCTCCATTCCCACCCCACTCTGGGACCAGCCAGAGTGGTATTTGTCCGTTCTCCGACCTACTCAAAATTTCCACTACGGGTTCTCCACAACCTGTCAGAACCTGCTGGATTTCACCCCTGGTTAAAGCGGATTTAACATTTTCAAGGTGGCTTTTTTACATTTCCTCCTGCCCACTTGGTTCTCATAATGAAATCAGATGGTCATTCCCGGAGGAATCCCTCTTCTTTTTCCTGTCCCGTAGATAAAGAGGTGGGAACGTTAGAATAGAATTCTTTATTGGCCAAGTGTGATTAGACACACAAGGTGCACACGCAAAAGAAAAGATATGTTCATCAAGAATCATAAGGTACAATACTTAATGATAGTCATAGGGAACAAATAAACAATCAAATCATATTAGGAAACAGTCAATATAAATCTTAAGGATACAGGCAACAAGGTTACAGTCATAAGTGGAAGGAAATGGGTGAACTTACAATAAGTAAGTTCAATAAATTGAATAAAGAACCTTCTAGACTGCGTATTACCTGCTGCCTTTCAAGATCACAGCTTAAAGTCCAGTAGGAAATCCTTTTTTTTTTGTTCCATTATTCACAAAAGAAAATCTACCACCCAAGAAGGACATTTAGTGTGGCTCCTGGTCCAAAAGAGTTGCATGCCCCATGAATGTGTGAATACAATGGAATTGGAAAAACGGTGACTACTATGTGTTTTAAAATGTTTGGAACAGAAATCTCACTTATTTGTACTGATGAGATTGGAGGATATATAAGCCCTTGGTCTGAACCATTGCTCCCCTTGGTTCCCCCTATAATTTTTATATTGATAAAGAAAAATAAGTTTTGTTGGAAGCATTGGAAAATATTGAAGGAGCTCAAAGAACCATGAACAGGATTTAAGTAGCAGAGTTTCCTGTTCAAGTGGCTCTTGCTTATCCAGCCTAAATGGGGGTCAGGAGTTCAGTCCCAAGGAGGAAGAAACTCGAAATAACCCTGCCTTGATTTTCCTTGGTATGAGATGGAGTAGTGAGGAACTCTTGATAGAGGCTTTCAAAGTGCCTGTCATTCTACGCAGTAAGAATAAAGAGCATTCCTGAAATATCTACTGTGTCCATTTCTTGGCCCTGTTTACCTCAACGGGCTCTCATCAGATCTCTTCGCATCTTGTGAAAAATTACCCCACCTGTCTGATGGCTGGTTTGCTTCTTTTCTTTACAGCTTGCCCATAGCATTCGATTGATGCTTGAATACACAGGAACACCTTATGAAGATAAGTTTTACAGCTGTGGAGAAGGTTTGTGTGACTTGCCAAGTTTCATTTGTACTGAAGTCCTCTCCTCCCCCTTGTTTTCTTCTGTCAATATAACTTGTTGAATATAAATATTAGCTCAACTCTTCATTCTTCGTTTCTAGCTTTTGAGTATTCCTAAGAATGTGGGAAATGTGTTCTTGCTCTACATGAATGCATAAATGGTTAGAAGAAAAGCAGAGTAAATTATATAAACATTCCTTAAGTTACCTAAAGTAGAGTGGTGTGCGCACAGTAATTAGATGGAGGTGTTCATTGAAGGCTGGGCTGTTATACAACTGTTGTATTGGAACTTTTCCAGATGTGCCTACACCATACAACAACTGTTGTATTGGAACTTTTCCACACGTGCCTACACCGATAATTCTATGCGCCCTGCCTTCCGCGCAACCCCCCCCTCACCCCCTTGCTCCTGGCACGTGATGGCCTGGTAGGCCCATTTTTCTTTGTTACCTGGTTCCAGATCTCTATTTATCTGGGAAGAGCGAAAACAGCCTTTCTCATTCCCTGGGAGGCAATCCAAAGGCTCTAGGAGTCTCTGGAGGCTGGGGACAGCAAAAAAGTCACTTCCTGTCCCACTGGGAATTGGGAAATTGGCCATTTTAGGCCTTTGGAGGGCCTCCGAGGGAGTGGAAAGGCTGCTTTCGCCCTCCGCAGATGCATAGAGAGAATCTGGAGCCACGTAAGAAAGAAAAATGGGCCTCCCCCACCCCCAGCTCCTCCGGAGGCAGGTAACAGCCTGTTTCCCTACTTCTGGTGGGCCCAGAAGGCCCGAAAATCAGCTGGCCAGCATGCGCATGCACACCAGAGCTCAACTGGCATGCCCAATGATATGGCTACGCGTGCCACCTGTGGCACGCGTGCCACAGGTTCGCCATCACGGTCTTAGTGCAATATTATGGGCCTCTTTCCAAAGCCATTAACTTAAGATATTTTCCTTTATATAACAATAGGCTCCTTATATCCATTCATCATCTCAGGCCGCTCCCTTATTTTGGCATATGTTGCCATTAGAACTAGGTTCATCCAGACTATCATCTCATTAGGGAGACCTCTGGCTCATAATGATGTTTGGGTGCCTATCAGTAAATGATTCTAATGTACCTATCGTTTTAGCTATTTGCTGCCAAAAATCACAGAAATTATTACATAATAATTTTGTTCAGCATTGCACATTTCAGTGCTCTTGAGTTGGCTTTAGGCAAGTCTTATGGAGTATAATAGTGTTCTTCTAATGAAAGTTCAAGTCAAGGATGTTACATAATCTTTAGCACTACAATTGCAGGTTTCTAATCCAGTAGAATATTTTCATTTATCTCTGTTGATTCTTGGTCTCTCTACCTGGATACTAAGGCACTCGAAGGCCTTACCTGTTTCCCATTCCTTCTCTCTAACCTTGCTCTTTTATATTTATGCCCATGCACTGCTCTGTAAGATTTCTTAGTTTTATTTGCAAGTTACTTTCAGGTCAACTTTAGTAAAATAGGTATTAAAGATGTGGGAGAGATTTTGGTGTTAATTCTGCGATAGCTTGAGGTGCTCCCTCCCCAGTCCTCATTTACAGTGTTCTTCTGACACCTTCCCACAAGTTAATAGGGAAGCCTGGGAAGCTTGTAGGGAGAAAGGGATTCCATGGGGTCATATGACCACAGCAGCAGTTCTGAGCATGCTGGTAGCCACCTCATATTATATTGGCACCAAATTCTCTTCAAATAGGGCCTCTAAATCTAAGAAATAAACCACTCTATTTATTGTGCCAAATATTTATGGGGTTTTCCATTTATCCACCTGGGGAGGATGATTTCTTCATGTGGCTTGATCTTGCCAAATTGTTTCCTTGAAACAACTTGTAGAATGTTACATGATGTTCTGGGAATATTCTTGATATGAAACCAAGAATTCAGATGACCCACAGAAGTCTCACAATATACACTGCTCAAAAAAATAAAGGGAACACAAGCAGAAGACATCCGAGATCTGAATAAATGAAATAGCCTTATTAAATACTTTGTTCATTACATACAGTACTTTTGTGTTCCCTTTCGTTGTTTGAGCAGTGTATAAACTACTGTATGTAAAGAACAAAGTATTTAATAAGGCTATTTCATTCATTCAGATCTCGGATGTCTTCTGCTTGTGTTCCCCTTTATTTTTTTGAGCAGTATATTTAACCAGGTCAACTGAAGGCTTAATGGCTGTTAACAGCATGCTAAGCTTGGCTTGCTTACCTCTGTTAATCTTTGTTTTGTGATTTGATGTGTTATATAAATCTAGTCCATTTAGTTACTTTATGGTTCAGTGCAATGGACAAACTCCAAAACTTGGATTAATTCAGTAGCCAAGCTATGCTTATCATGTAACGAGTCATTAAATGGCAGAGGTAAACTTGTCAGCATTTGGTGTGGTACTTGCTATAACTGGGTCAGGAAAAGCATTCGCATTTTGGCATTTCCTAAAATTCATTGCTTTGTCTAGTGAAAGGTAAGCAGTTTATATCTTATTTAAATTTTCTGGCTATCTGAACTTTCTATCTCCCATTTTCTCCAGCTCCAGATTATGATAAAAGTCAATGGATCAATGAAAAAGAAAAATTGGGGCTGGACTTTCCAATGTAAGTAACTGTATGCATAATGGTCGGGAAGAATATCTTCTCAATATGCTGTTTTCTATGGTATTCACATATGAGGACTTGGATACAGAGGATAGCTGAAGGACAATTAGATAGAGAGCGATCATGTGAAAGCCTAACATGGCAAAGATTTGTTCTTAAGCAGTTCATTCTGTCTACTTTCCAGCTTCCATACTTAATTGATGGCAAGACCAAATTGACACAGAGTAATGCTATTCTCAGGTACATCGCACGCAAGCACCATCTTTGTAAGTATACCTGAGCTCTTTTGGAAGCTGAACTGGCTGATTAAGACATGTTTCTGATGCCCAATATTTCTCATCTCTCTGTACTATCTGCAGGCGGCAAAACTGAGGAAGAACTTACCAGAGTGGACATGCTGGAGAATCAAGTGATGGATTTCCGTATGGGCTTGGTGATGATTTGCTACAATCCTGACTTTGTGAGTTGAGTCACCTTCATTTCCATTTTCTAGTAAACCGGAATAAAGAAATATTGCCGTGTAATGGTGTACGAACTAAAGACTGGATCCAATTATAACACAGAAAACGTATTTACTCGGTGTGTCTTTGAAGGTTTCCTGTGGCAAGTGTATAAAAGTGATGTGTAAGCATCTGCCAATATCTCTGTCAGTTTTCTGGGATCAAGATGGAGAGGGTTTTTTTAAGGGCTATTGCCTGTATTCAGGCATTAACAAATTTGGAAAAGTCTACATGTGAAACCTCCAGATATGAACCTCCCAGTTCGTGATGCTGATCTCTGCACACACTTCCATGTTAAACTTAGATATCTGCTGATATTTGAAATCAATATGTGAATATCTGCAATGGGGAATTGTGTTGTGTGTTTGCATAATGCTCCAAATAATAAACATGTCAACTAGCTCTCTCAAAGTTAAAATGCTAAGGAATTTTCATTCACTTTTCAGTAGAATTGCTGTAGAGATATGAGTTATGTTTGCTGGTCATACTTCCTGCTCACATTGCACATATTGCTATAGTGGTTGGACTGGAAGGAATACATTTTATGTGATCCAAAGGTACTGTCAAATAGTTCAGTATTGCTGTAATGCCATCAGAACGTAAGGAGTAACTTTGGCTTCCTCTGATGACTCTTGGATGGAGCATGTCAAATTCCATAACTGTTGGGTAGAAACAAGCAACGTTCTCAATTCCGTTTTGTCTACTTGCTTGTTTTGCAGGAGAAACTCAAACCTGGATATTTGGAGCAGTTACCAGGGAAACTGAAACTTTTCTCCCAGTTTTTGGGAGATAGAAAGTGGTTTGCCGGGGATAAGGTACATGCATAACCATACCTGGGTATCTTTGGGCAGGTCTGATCTTTTTGGTGACTCACTATTGATTTTTTCCCCCAGATCACATTTGTAGACTTTCTCATGTATGATGTACTTGATCAAAACCGCATGCTTGAACCCAAGTGCCTTGATCAATTCAAGAATCTTCAAGATTTTCTGACCCGTTTTGAGGTTAGCTTTGGCTTCATGAAATTTGCTGGCTTTGTGGATCTTGTGACTTAGTTTACTGGGTTTTGGCAGGAACTGACAGATTAACCCACAGCATTTATCTGTTTGCTAGATTGAGGCCCAAATTGGCATGGGCAGAAATATATGGAAAATACTATCCTTATGGTATGTTCCTTTAGTATATGAAACAAGCACCAGAAGGCTTGGTGGTAAATTCCCTTCCATACTTTTATTTGACATACATTTTCCTATGATGAACTGGTTGCTAACAGTGCAAGGATTTTAAAGTCTACTACCAACAGTGCAAGGATTTTAAAGTTTGCTACCAAGCTAAGCTGGCTGAGCAACTCTAGTATTTGAAGTCCACAAGTCTTAAAGTTGCCAAGGTTGGAGACCCCGATCTAGAATGTATTTTTAGTGTAGAAGAAATGTGTGTGGTTGCCCTGATGGTGGGTTTATTGGGTGGTTGGTAGGAGTATGCCTCCTTGAGCTTTTGGCTTACCAACAACTTCTCTCAGTCTCCTAAATATTTCTTTTGTCTGCATCCTCAGGCCCTGGAGAAAATTGCTGCTTACATGAGTTCCAGCCGCTTTATGAAAACTCCAATTAACAATAAGATGGCCAAATGGGGTAACAAGAAAGCATAAAGAAAAAAAAATGTTTGTTGCTGGATGAGATATTTCCCCCTTTTTCTCCATTCTTGTCTTAGATGGAGTTGATAAGAAAAAGAATGGTGTTTCTGTAGAATTGTGATGTTTAGGTATTTGGAAGGCAGCAGTGCTCAATAAAGTATCTTGGAATTACTTTGTAATGTTGTCCTGTTTGTTACACTATCACATACTTTTGACTTGTAGTCTCTCACACCTCCTGTTTTATCCCTGTGTTTTAATGTAATTCACATGAATGTGCCTTTATCTATGAAGAACTGCTTTCATGTGTGCTCAAAGCTGATTGGCTGTTGACCTTTGGCTAAAATGAGAACAGCAGAGAAGAAATATAAAAGGCTACTAATTTTATTTTCCATTACATATGAGAAATATTTAAATAAAATGGATTAAACAAAATAATAAGTTAGAAGAACACTAGCAGCCTCTGAAAACTGTATTCTGATTTACTCAAAGTGTGTTCCTGAAAATTGAATCATTTGCAAACCCAAAATTTACAAGCTGTCAAATCCTGGGAATAATCTCACATGAATACACATGCACAATTTGGAATTAATTGAAACATAATTACTTTCATAGAAGGGAAGTTCATTGATTATTTTTTAAACAATCACTTCATTTTTCTGCCCAACTTCTCTCTAACGTGTTCTAGCATGAATCAGTGAAAGTATTTCTAACTGACAAATGGAGAAATTAAAGTAAACCTGATATACTCATATTCATAATACACTCATAAAATGGTATATTTCAACCAGTAAATACATTGAATCATTTTCTTCATTTCTAATCCAGAAGTGTGAAAGAGCATCAGAAGGAATGAACAATTTGACTCCTCTATTTCCAAGCCAAATGTTCTTGTCCTAAACTATGTTTGTACATAATGATGAAAGTTGGAAAGTAGGTCAATACTCTTAAGACATTATGAGGAGGCACAGTGATTAGAATGCAGTACTACTTCTGCTGACGACTGGCTGCCTGCGGTTTGGCAGTTCGATTCTCACCAGGCTCAAGGTTGACTCAGCCTTCCCTCCTTCCGAGGTCAGTAAAATGACCCAGATTGTTGGGAGCAATATGCTGACCGTAAACCGCTTGGAAAGAGTAAAGCACTGCAAAGCGGTATATAAGTCTAAGTGGAGGTGCTATTGCTATTATCCAAAAAGAATCTGCTTATCTGCGTGTAGCACTCAAATGGTTGGGGTGAGGATGAAAATAATGGTCTGGCTTGCTGGAGCGTTTTCATTAAGTGGATGCCATCTGCCAATCCTTGGGAAAAGATCAATTATTGTTTTAAGAATGTATTAATCTGTGTCTTAACTACAAATTTGGGGATGGAATACCTATTAATACAGTATAATATAGTCTTTTTACACTTTTAATCTTTTGTCCCCTGCTCCAATTATCCTCACTTGGAGAAGATAACAGTATTTCCAAATCAGATTCATTATTCAGAACATCCTGGCTACCTCAAAGTTATCTTTTCAAAGTTCTAAAATCTAAAGGATCCATTTAAGATTCTATCCTTCACAAATATTTCCTTGATTTAGTATCTTTTCACAGTCAAAAATTGATGAGGTGGTCGATGATAAGGCCGGGCTGCAAGAATCAATGGCCCCTCTAAATGTCCCTATTCTGAAAGCCATAGCCCAATAATAGAAGAGTGTGTCACCAATGTAATAACAGTCATTTACAGATGTTCCTGAGATCATTCAAAAATGGTAAGCATGTTACTTGCTACAGCATTTACAGAAGCATCTTAAAGCCCTCTTGAAGGCTATTCTTAAACACAGCAATTACAAACTAACTGGAAAATTAGTGGACTGAAGATTACCATGCAACTAATAACATTTTCAGTGAGTTGTGCCATTGATGCAGTGATGATCTCTTCAAAATAGATGGTGGAATGGGTTGGGAGATCTGCAAAAGCTAATGCTGAGGACCATTACTGTGAAAAGAAGTACAGAGATTAAACACTAATTTAAACTAGCAATTTTTTAAAAATTACACAGACTTCATGGAAAATTATGATGGGGTACGTTTAATTTCATCTTGGTATTATGTGAGTTCAGAATTCACTATTCTGCAATTCCCCAACCTGTGGGGAATTCTGGCTTAAGTCATATCCCTTGAAGAGCTCAGGATCATGTACTGTATGGAAGTAAATATACTTTTATCCTCATAGCAATATTGTAGTGGGTGTGCATAATAATAGAGGCTAATGTAAGGCCATTTAGTATCACTTTTTTCCCAAGATAAATAGTTGACCTGGAAGAATACTATATATGCTGCTTCATCAGAACAATGAAAGTGTTACCTTCGAAGAAACGTTAAGATCGTAGAGCACATTTTTGTGCTACAATTATTTAGATAGAAGTATCCTTGACAGGAAGTACAATAGCAACCCCGTTAGAAAATACTTAAGATTAGATTCAAGCTGCCTCACTTCTCTTCTTTTTAATAGTCATTCTCTTGCAACAATCTGCTCATAAAACATTGCCAGCAGAATATTACTCTTTGTTCCCTTGTGCTTATTGGGCAATTTTCCTTCACAATACTATCACATGAGTTTATGATATTAAAAGTAAGATGCCGGGAAATGAGTGGTAAAAATGACCCAGTGTTAAATTATGCATTTGGTGTGACTATCTCATGATTTGCATGTAGGAATACATTTATAACAACTGAGCCTTATTCTTTTAAATTACACAACCAGATTTCCTTATCGACGAAATAAATTGCTAATTGATCATATCTTCCTTAGCTAAATAAGAAAAAACAAGGAGTAAAGAGTAACCTATAGGTAGAGTGATTCCAAATCATCTTTGTAGCCATCTTTGAATGGTTAAACCAAACTTCTTTACCCTGTTTCTGTTTATGAAGTTTTAAGTAAAAACAAAAATAAAAAACCTATCAGCTTTCTGCAGCACCATTCCTTACTGGCCATTTGCAAGTCCTGAAGATATGCTTGCATTCCTGGGCACAGGCTCTTGATTGTTGTTAATATGGTTATTTTAATTGCTGCTTGTTTAGTTTTTATCATAGGTGTTGGCAAAGTACTTATTGTTAAGGCACACCTCTCTTTCAATTCCCCACCACCACCACCAAAATGCTCCCAGAAAGAGTCCATTGGCAGAAGGTCTCATCTGCCAAATCCCTGGTGGGCTTCAGAGGCCAATTCCTTTATGAATGGACATCTCCTGCCCACAATATCGATCAGATAAAAATCCAAAACAGTCCTGACAACTAATGTTTTAGTTGTTCCTTCATTCAGTGGTGTTATTGAAAAAGAGTGGGAGACTAAATTCCAGTACGAAGCTACATTGACAATATGGTAGCATTGGTGGTGGGTTGCTCCTGGTTTGCCCTGGTTTGCCCACCCGCCCAGACGTCATCAAAAACGCTCTGTGCATGTGCAGAAGTGCCACGCACTCGCAAAGCGCATGTGTGCACCTGCACGCTACCAATAGCGAACCAGTAGTGCTGTGATTTGAATCCCACTACTGGGTAGCATACTGTATCTTTCAGCAGATATGCTGAGATTGATTCGATGATCAAGTTTTAGACATTCTCTTACCTACAGTGGGGATTTAACTCCTCTAAGCATTGAAAATACTTTTCTTCCCTCTTCTGGGCAGGCCATTTTCAGTTCTTCTTGGCTCATCGACAGTAGCTGTCTACCATTTAAGATGCCAAGGGATTTAACTGTGCTGTTGAAACAACCAAAAGATACATACATAGTGAAATGAGTCACTCTTGAGGAAGACTGAAGAAGAAAGCAGGGTTGGACCTGATTCTATAGACTGTATTTTGTTTATTGGGCCATGTTACAGTGCATCCTTTTTATTGTTGTTGAAAATGAACAATCTGGGTTTCTTAACCATTCTGTGTAGGTAGAGTTGAAAATTGCTGCATGACTGAGAACTGGAATATGGCCCTTCTAGTTCTGACACTTAATCTGTGAGTTTGTTGTGCTTGACTGTAAATGTGGAATCTGGTCTTTCCTGTATAAGTTAGCATTATTGTATTCTATTTAGTTTCTGTTAAACTATCAGCACCTAGAATTATATCTCTAACTTGACATCTTTGGGTCATAGTGTTAGTATGATTGCTGAGATTAATAGCTGCAGTACACCTGCATGAAAGTTAAGTGTCAAGGGACTAAACAGAGTTGAAAGTGAAGAAGGAGTTTACTACTCTACACAACTCTTCATCTCACGGACATCAAGTATTAGAACAACCAAATCAATCATGACCAGAATCAGATTTATTGGACTAGTTATTAAAGTGACACCTACATCTTGGAAAAACCTTTTGTCCTGAGCCAAACTGTGACTTCTGCTGGTGAGGAACTTGGCTGGACATCAGTGAAACCTGTTGAAACCTATATACAGAGATAACAGGAACAAGATGATTCAGAGGAAAAAAGGATATTCATTGCTCAAACTTCTAAAGGCCTACCTATTTAGAAGTAAGTGTAATTACAGCAAATAAGTCGCAACAACTGAGCTTGATCTCAATCTTATTTTCTAATAAGTGGCTACAAATTTGAGGAACTGAAATTTCCCTTCTATCAGTCAATCAGAATAGAGCTGGAAGAGACTTGGAGGTCTTCTAGTCCAACCCCCTGTCGTATACCATTTCAGACAAGTGACTGTCCAGTCCCTTCTTAAAAACCTCCAGTGATGAAGCACCTACAACTTCTGACAGCAAGCTGTTCCACTGGTTAATTGTCCTTTCAGTTCTACAGTAGTTCTCAGTGGGTGGTGTATGTGAAAATATAACTAATATAAATTTACAGTAATCTCAAATATTTAAGTGCTGCTGCTAGAAGCTTCAAGTGTATTGTCTATATTTAGCATAAGTCAGTTCTATACTTACACATTGGTACAGCAGATTGAGAATGTCTGCTTGTACTAAATTACCAATTTAAATCCTCAGTTTTAATTCCAAAAAACCTATACAGTTGGGATGAGACTTCTTGCTATTCCTCCTCCATGAATTTGCAGCTAACTTTATGACACAATCAGAATTCAGGATAATTCATAAGCTGGATATTAAGAAGTGTTCAGTATATGGGCTTCCAATGAGATATAGCCAACGAGAGCTATTCTGTCTGAAGAAAACAGCTGATTCCAACAGAATATGCAGAGATGCCCACTTTCCCAGAGAACATATCTTTTTTCTGATTTTGTATCACATTGTCAGTAGAGATCTGCTCCCTAGATATGCCTCAATTTTACACAGCAGGGGAGAAGTGATTATGTGAAATAACACCTAGCATAAAGCATCTGTCTCTGCAATGCCACATGACACAAAAGGAAATGGTACCCACTTGCTCTGGATTGTGTTCATTAGATGTCTGATTCTTAGATTCCAGAATATTATTAGGGATATAACCTTTCTCCCCCGTGGCATTTCTGGCAAGCCACCATCTTTTTCTTTGGTCCAAAATCTAAAAAATAGTAGAGTTCAATTTAACAGAATAACAGAGTTGGAAGGGATCTTGGAGGTCTTCTAAGTTCAACCCCCTGTTCAGGCAGGAAACCCTATACCACTTCAGACAAATGGTTGTCCAATCTCTTCTTAAAAACCTCCAGTGTTGGAGCATTCACAACTTCTGGAAGCAAGTTGTTCCACTGATTAATTGTTCTGTCAGAAAATTTCTCCTTAATTCTAGGTTGCTTCTCTCCTTGATTAGTTTCCACCCATTGCTTCTTGTCCTGCCTTCAGGTGCTTTGCAGAATAGCTTGACTCCCTCTTCTTTATGGCAACCCCTGAGATATTGGAACACTGCTATCATGTCACTCCTAGTCCTTCTTTTCATTAAACTAGACATACTCAATTCCAGCAACTGTTCTTTATATGTTTTAGCCTCCAGTCCCCTCATCAACTTTATTGTTCTTCTCCATACTCTATCTACAGTCTCTTTTTTCTATCATGGCAACCAAAACTGGACCAGTGATCTTACCAAGGCATTATAGAGTAGTATTGATATGTCACGTAATCTTGATTCTATCCTTCTGATAATGCAGCCTAGTACTGTGTTGGCTTTTTGGGCAGCTGCCACACACTGCTGGCTCATATTTAAGTAATTGTCCACTAGGACTCCTCTCACAATTACTACTATTGATCCACCTATACTATAGCTATGCATTTGGTTTTTCTTGCCTAAATGCAGAACATTAGTTTTTTCACCATTAAATTTCATTTTGTTAGCTAGGGCCCAATGTTCAAGTCTGTCAAGATCCTTCTATATCTTAAGCCTATCTTCCGGAGTATTAGCTATTCCTGCCAGTTTGGTGTTGTCTGCAAATTTGATGAGTTCCCCATCTATTCCTTCATCTACATCATTGATGAAGAAGATATGAGGAATTGATGAAGAAGACATGAGATATAAAAAAATATATTTATTTATATGCCGCCGTTCTCCGGAGACTCAGGGCGGCTTACAATGCATTAAGCAATAGCCTTCATACTTTTGTATATACCTGCTTCGTAGGGCTTTCGCCCCCCCCCCAAGTGGTGTTCTTTTTTTATACAAAGTCAGCTTATTGCCCCCACAATCCGGGTTCTCATTTTACCTACCTCGGAAGAATGGAAGGCTGAGTCAACCTTGAGCCTGGTGAGATTTGAACTCGCAGTAATTGCAGGCAGCTGGCAGCTAAGTGCTATTTAACAGTGCTTTAGTCCACTGCTCCACCAAGCTCCTTAAACGTATGGATATAACGCATGTTCTTCATCAATGTATCATTGATGAAAAATATATGAGATAACTCTTGATAGTTTAAGGAACCCAATACTGAATCTTATTAAAAAGAAAAGTGTTCAAAGTCTAGCCTTGTGGAATGTAGAAAAAATGAGCCCAGTATTGTTATTATTATTGTTGGAAAGTGTTGTTTAAGAATGCCAGGCACCATTTCTTGTTTTGGTTTTTTTTTAAATTACATGTTTTTATTGTACTGTTGTTGTACTATTGTACTGTTCTTGCTGTGGGGTGGGTGGCCGGATATGTTTTCCAAATAAATACATAAATAAAGATGATTCCTGTGCCATTAATACAAGTTCAGAATAACTAATGTGACCACCAAGTTTCATGATGCATGGCAATAAACGTTAAAAAAATGTTTTAGGGAAACTGTTGGGAAAAGGTTATGAAGAAAAGAATTTGGGTAAAAGGTATCCTAAGGTCTACAGAAATCCACATAACTTAAAGTTACAGATTTGAAAATCTACACTGTTCCTTTCATGTTCTAGCTCAAGAGCCTATGATAATCATTTGCAGCATTGATGACTTCTAGACAAAGATGGCTATTTCAGTCCTCAGTCTTGATTTTATGTAATGATGTGAACTAGCTAGATGCACTATTTTCTATTAAGAATTATTATTATTAGAACTATCTTCTCCTTTTTGGATTTTTTTTTTTGGTGGCTTTTTATACAGCTTAGAACAAAATATTTTGGTATAATTTGCTCCCTTTCCTAGTCATGATTGGGCTGCAGTTGCTTTGATGGTGTTTATGTAAAGAACCGTTTGATCCCATACAGGAGCTTTGGTGGTGAAGAGCACTGTACTTGCCAAGAGACAACCACTGTACTTGCCTATCTACTAAAGGAACAGATTTTCAGTCTTACCTCTAATAGGTCTCCTTTTCTTACAGTGAGCTCTTGGGAATTCCGTGCATGGAAATCAGATATGGCTTGCATGAGTTGTGGAGGATTGGAAGCCCTGAAAAGGAAATGAATCTGCTCTTGAGAACAAAAGTCTGGGAGATGAGCAGCCTGTTCTTCCTTCTTCCTTGTTCTGTAAAAGACTCCCTTGAAAAGAGTTTGCCTCCTTGTCTCTACATGGCCAGATCCCTTGTGATGCAGTGTCTACTAGATTCTGTCAAATGTGGGCAAAACACCTCAGCCGGGGTTGGCATTTACAGGATTTGAGTAACGTGACTCCCACTTCCCAAAGTCAACACATTTGGCAGCTGAGAATATTATGGATCTCTTATGCACTAAAACAGCTCTAGCAATAGGGTTCTGATACTTAGGATCCTATTTCTTCCTTTTGTTCTGATTTATGCCAATTTCAAAGACGTAATCATGTTAATTTGTTATAGCAAAAGCCACAACATGGCATGTTAAAGATGAACATGCTGATAAATACGTAAAAAAAAATAATTGAAAGATAATTTCAATAAAATTCAAAAGTATTGTGTCTTGTTCTGTTTTTGTGGTATTTTTGTCCTTAAATATTTTAAACAACTGTAAACCACCCAGAGTTGCTGGGAGCTGAGTAACATATATATATGTTATAATTTATTATTATTGGTCACGCAATCTTCTCCTCCTCTTGCTCCTCCCAGAATACCCTTGTCAGAATTTTAGCTACTCTTTAATTCTTAATTGTATTTCTGCCAGTGTAACTTGAGTAGGATGTAATTTCTAGAGTGAATTTGCATGGGATGTAATTTCTAGAGTGAATTTGATGCAGGGAAATTCTATGTGTCTGCCATTTTCTATTAGAGTCAAAATAATTTCTAGTGGTCACATACGTAAATTTCATTCCCCAGGAATATTTCCTGTATATCCACTAAAAAGTCTGGTAAGAAAACATACCCATCTGAGGAATTATTCTGGGTTTCATTTGCCTACAAGAAAACAATACAGTTTACTTTAAGTGAAATTAATCATAGGTACACATTAAACAATGTTTTAATAAATGAATGGCTTCAAACGTATGTAACGACAATAGTTGTGATATTTGCTTACATAATTGAACTACATAGGAATCCACTATATTGTTAGTAGCAATAAAATTTTATCTGCTAGAGAATTGCATCTTAGTAATGCATTGTATGTGATAGCAGACTTTGAATTTTGATGGTATAGTAAGCTTTTTCTTTGGAATTGCTAATTGACCTACTGCTTTGCAAATTATGGCAGCCTGGTTCTCTCCAAATATGTTGGAGTTCAGCTCCCATAAGGCTTAGGCAGCAATACTTGTGCTGCATCCATGAGTATCCATCCCAAGATACTGGGAGTTGCAGTTCTCCTTATCTGTAGGCACCAAGTACAGAACAGCTGAGCTGTACAGATGGGCAGAAATATAATGATCATTTGATACATGAGTATTGCCATGAGAATTAACATTGCCCTTGAACAATATATGAAACTGTAAAAAATCTGACTATTTGTGATGAATTTGTGCTGACCTTGTATAGAGCAGGCAAGATACTGCTTTTGCTTTAGAAGCTCATGGCCAGGCACCTGCTCTCCATAATGTGGCTCTCTATTACTTCTGCTCTGCCTGTGGTTGCCTGCCATTCAGGAGTGACTCACCTGAGCCATATTGTTGGATCTCCAAGTAGACCTGGGAGGCATCCATCCATCTGAAAATGTGGGTATATAGGGAGGGAAGGATTGTCCCTTTGGAAATTCTTCCCTGTGAGTAAAAAGACAACTTATTGAGTAATAAAAATTGGGATCAAGCTACAATAGATCCAGATCATCAAGGTGTTTCCTTCAGAATTTGTGTTACAAATCCACTTGAATGACAGGGTTACTGAAAATTATACAGTGAACAAAATGAAGTTTTAGCAGGGATTAACAGGGATTTCAATGAAGAAGAATCCTGCTAGATTTGACTCAAAGTCCATGTTGCTATCTTTGGCAGTGGCTTTGCATGATGCAATGGCTCTGGCTATAGTACATTATGCAATGGCTGGTATTCTCGTTTGACCTAGTTTCTTACCACATTATACTGTAGAAGCAAACGTATTGCACAAGGTTTGACAACTCTTACCTAGTCTTATTCCAAGCAGTTCCCAAATTCCTCCAAATAGTCTGGTCATCATATTTCAAGGAGCGCCTGAGCAAGTTAATAGCTGCAGGCGTCAGCAACGGTAAGACTACTGTAGAGGCCAAGTTTATCCAGGGACACCTGGATAAAATCTGAGGAGTGAGAATACATGTTATTCAGGGAATACAACATGACAATTAATCAAGCCTTCGAGGAACAGAAATACTTGCAAGTGGAAGTCACAGGTTTATTGTTACACTTTCTTATGACCCAGGTTTTATTCATTGAATGCTTCCAAATAGAGCTAAAGTTCTTATTGCTTAACGTTCAGAAGGCAAAGTATAGCTATGTTTTTTTTCTGTATATTGGAATTGTGTTTAGGAAAGGGTGAAAAAAAGGGTAAAAAATGCAGTATGGTTAGAAATGGAGCATGAAGTTATCTGGATTATTTCCTGTATTCCATGAACGAGGCAGAGCAATTGCTTAATCCACACCCTCCCTGGAACCATCTACATAGACATGTTAAAGTGATTTCCACTTGTGTCTTTTTTTGTCTTTAGAGCAGGGGTGTCAAACTCAAGGCCCACAGGCCAGATCCAGCCCATAGGATGCTTAGATCTGGCCCATGGGGCCGCTCTGGATACAGCGAAGGACTGGCCCATGGTGCCTCTACCAGTGAAAACGGAGCTGGGCTGTGGGGTCCTGGTGCCCTGGGAGCTTGAGGGTCAGGCTGGGCACTTGCCCTTTGCTACCTAGGGCTCTGGACAGCCTGTGCCACTGTCTGGGGGGTGGCCTGAGAGGGACGGCGAGGCTCCTCTGGAGGACAAGGGTTTGGCCCTCTCCCTGGTCTCACCTTCCTCCCCTGGAGACAATGGGTCCCCCCAGCCCTGCTAGAGGCACCCCTGACATGAATGATGCCCATGCCCACCTGCCCCCCGAGGTCAAACACAACTCTGATGCAGCCCTGAAACTCAGCCCTGAGTTTGGGAGGGAGTTTGACACCCCTTCTTTAGAGATTTCTAATGTGTCAGGAAATTTATTCTCATCTGGCCTTCGATAACAGCTGCTTCCCATTTGTCATCTGTAGAAAATGAGGTATAAACAATGCTGGGAAACATGCAGGACACTTGCATTTTGATCCTGAATATTAAAAAATGTGATTGCTAGAGCATAGAAAACACCTATCAGAATTCTGGAATGCCTAATTGATTTAGGGAAAAAATATATCTCTCTCATGGTAACTACAGTCCGATACTATGTGCACAAAGATGGAAAAACACAGAAATACCCACAATGAAGGAGTCGACTGTGAAGATGGTACAACTTGCAGAAATGACAAAATTGAATTGTTTGATTAATAACATAGGCAATAACTATGTTTACAAAAGATTGAAAACTTGTAATGGACTTTGTAGTTCCTTTTATGAAAGGATCTATATTATATAATACTAAAGGGGGGGAAGTGGTAAAAAAATGTTTGCAATTGCTGTGAAGAAGATTAGAAGCTGCTTCTTAAATTTTCCCTTTTTTCCTTCTTTTCTTTATCTGTACTGTTCCTAGCACTTTATTTTATTTCTTCTACTTTTCTTCTATATATTTTTCTTGTTTATCTTTTAATGAAGTAAAAACTTTCAATAAAACTATATAAGAAAAAAATGCTCTCTATTTACAAATGAATCTTTTAAAAAAAGACAGTCATCAGAAACCTCTGGAATTTCTTGCCTGACTGCTATACTCACAGTTCTTAGAGTGGAGAAGATGAGGGTGACCAATTCAGGAGCACTTGGCTGTTGTATGGTTTGGTCAAGATTCCCCTGCAAAAAAACAAGTACAGTCCCATAATTATTATTTCTATTTTGAAAAACCAATTCACAGATTGAAGAAGGAGGAAAGTAAACCATTAACTAGACCACATTAGGTTATGGAGTTATTTTTGTACTTCAAGATAGTGTTGACTCCAGCGACTGCCTAGATTACTTCCTGCAATTTTCTTGGCAAAAGTTTGGAAGTAGTTTGCCATCACCTTCTACCTTGAGGGTATGGAGGGGAGAGAAAGAGAGAGGGGAGGGGAGGGAGAGAGGCCCAAGATGATGGGTGAACTGATGATTAATTTATTTATGAATTCTAAGGTAGGACTAGAATTCATGGTCTCCCAGTTTCTACTTTTAATGCCTTAATCACTACACCACCTAATGTTCTTATTAGGTAAATTTAAGTAAAGGATGGCACTAAATCAACTTTTCAAAACTTGATACTTTCCAAGTGGCTATATAGGCTGGGAATTCTGGGAACCTTGAGAAGGAAGGTGGGCTAGGTTTGATTAGAATCTGGGCAAGGAACCTACAATGACTTGCCCTGGTGTTGGTAAAGAGTTTGACCCTCTAATAATCCTATTGAACTTGCTTATTCAGTTAATGCTTAGTTCCTTTCTCAAAGAAAAACAAGTAGGGTGGATTAAAAATTAAACTGGGCGTGGGAAGCACATTTTCAACTGATACTTGGCTCTGGCCAGGACTCTGATTCTTGTAAAAAGAAGAAGGCAGGCCTTATCCTGGTTCTTGGCTGGAGAGCGACTTAGTTACATATTGTGCTATGCCATCACATATTTTGGTTTAACACTGCAGTTCTCAACAGTTTTCTCCCTATCTGTAGCCCTCTCCCAGCCTTGTTTTCATCCTATCAACACCCCCCCGACCCCCCAAACCAGGTCCCATTACTGAATACAGACAAGGGACAGTTACCGATGTATTTTCTGGTATATACTGTATAAGACAGAACTGCAGTAAACATACTTTACTTTTCTATGGCCCCACCAGCCGCCACCCCATTACACGTTTTTTATCCGTGGCCTCCTTAAAATATACTAGGGTGCCCACGGGAATCCCACGATCCTCAGTTGAGAACTGTGGTTTAACAAACAATATGAACATAGGTTATAAATCAGGGTCTGTTGTGTACTTGTGTAAACACAACCAATTATGATACATTTAACAAACCATCAGTAAGCAAAACAAAATGGGTGATATATGTGCAGCTAGTAATTACTGGGAACTTGGTCACCTTTCCCCATCATCAATAACACAATTTCAATTATTAGTTGGGAATGGATGCCGGATGTTGGTCCAGAGAACCAAGAGCCAATGGGGACTGCTTCTTTCCTCTCTTTCTAGCAAGGCCATCAGGAAAGAAAAATGAACTTCCCCTTCCTTCACTAGAAGAAAATGCTGTTTTCAAGTGCTGTTCTTCTTGGTTCATTTTTCAGCTCTTTTTCCTCCACTCCCCTTTCTTTATGGGAACTGTTCCGAAAGCTCAGTTAACATGAAGATTAGGCTTATACAACATATTAACCCATAATTAACTGCACAATGACTATCAAATTAATTTTATTTCTTGCTCAACACATTGAACCGTTAATAAAACATACCAGCTAGATTTGGACAACAAACTAAAACAATTTCAGGTTAGTCTAGTGTATGTCACAGATCTAACTATAGTATTGTTACCAGTATTTTTTTTTCTCCTTCCATTTTTTTAGCAGTAGAAACATAATACTATATGGATTAACAAAGAAAGGGGGAAATCTTATTCTTATCCCTTCTGTTCATTTCTCGGGACCAGATTCTTGCATTCAGCCATTTTAGCTGTCTATGAGAAAAAAATGAAACAGGTAGAATGGGATAATTCAGATGTGAACAATCAAAACAGGAAAGAATATTGATGCCCCAACTTTGCGGAAGAACACAACTGTGGTAGTTATGAAATAAAGAAATAGGAGAAAATGGCAGGAGATAAAGATCAGATCACATTTAGGGTCTTAAGATCAAACTAAAGAAGGTTTAAAAAAAAATCAGAAAATTAATTTAGTGGGTAGCTTTTTACAATAGATAAGAGACTGGGGAATTGCTCTGTTTATGGATCATAGGAAAGGTTGAAAGATAATGTTTAGGAGCCTTTACTCTTTTCCCAAAATGATCCCAACCCAGATTGTTCCAGTTGTTTTCACTGGGAAGTAATTCTAGTGATGCATGTTGGGAGATGGGGAAAGTTTCTGTTCCAAATTGATTACCAGTCTGGACTATTTTCCCCATCCTGTTTATCAGGTCTATTCAAGTTTGCAAGCATAGCTTTCCGATAAAGCATAGCCTTTATTTGGCCCTCCGATAAAGTCAGATCTGTATCATTTGTGCATCATGCTTGAAAGCATAAATGTGCATAGAATTTTAATTGCGATTTAATTGAGGCTTTCTTTGGGAAACAATTCTCATCTGAAAAGCTGGATTAAATACCAACAAGCACATACAGTACAGTTCGATACTCTATACAATTACATCTGGTAAATATATAGGTACATTTACAATCCTCCTCTAGTTTCCTAATGTCTTATCTGACTACCATAATTTTTCAGCTGCTTAAAATATTCCTACATTAATAATCCCACAGTGGCAATAAACAGCTACAACTAAACAGAATGGAGCTCTTTGTGCTGTTGCCCTAGATATTTTGTGTTGCGGAATTCATGAAGAGTTCTTTTCATAAGAAATGTAGCCAACTGTATTGGCAATAGAGAAATTTCTGCCAAGGTCAAGCCAGTTGCAAACCTACCAGCAAATTGAAACTGTACTTGATCTTCTGGAAGCAGTCTCCAAACTCAGATTCCGAGGGTAATGCTGCCAAACCAGAGAGAAACATTAGTAAACTGATGCAGAAGATAAAAGAAAATAAGATTATAGACAGGTATCTCCACATGCAGGAGATTCAAGATTTACAGAGAGAGAGAGAGAGAGAGAGAGAGAGAGAGAGAGAGAGAGGGAGAGGGAGAGAGAGAGAGCACATTTGCACCCAGTTATGTCAAAATAATCAGAACATAACATTAAATAAACTAATTTAATTCCAACTTTCTTGCTTAGTTAAAAGGCAGTCTAAATTTGAAGATTTGATATGGGATGAGATCAGTGAAATATATAAAGCATACTTTTTTATACGCAAGAAAACTATATGAAAACCTAAGATATGCCATTCCAGCATTGAGAGACATGAAGTCATAGGATTTAAATTGTATGGATCTAGACAGTATGTTATAATCTGGATATTCTTTGTGGACCTTTTGATAAAAAAAATGAATTTATGTTTATGGTTTTGAAAATTAGATACGATACATTATTTACTAAGAGTCAGGATATAATGAGAGAGAGAGAGAGATATCTGTTTATAATTGTACTTATAAGTGTTATACAAACATGCAAGCCTCTTTATATTTTAGTTTTTTCTTTCATTTTTTTTCTTTTTCTCTTTTGCTTTATTTCAGTTTGTATTCGTCTTATTTGTGTGTTTAAAATTTTCAATAAAATCATATAATAGATTGTATGGATCTAGAACACAATCTATTCAAATGTGAAACTGATGATCTAACAAAAATAGAACTTATCATTAAAATGTGTCTCCATAACAGAGGATTGGTGAACAGTCAATGGAACACCAATGTCTTATAAGTGAACTAGGAAATCTTAAATGATGATGGGCTACACAAAAAAAGTGATCATGGATTATATAATAATATTCAAGAAATTGAAAAACCAAAAAGGCTGTATATAGCTCCAAAAGGATATAAATAGAGAGAACTGGTGATAATAGGGGACATGAATTTCACTGTAGGCAAACACACATCTTAGTTGGCTCTTAAGTTGGCTCTTAAACCTTCTCTAATGTGAGATGACTAGGATTTACCAGGCAAAAGAGTTTGAGATTGTGGTAGAAAATCAAAACCATGAGTGAGTGAATGAATGAATGAATGTATATCTGTAGAGATTCTCAATCATCCAGGTTTTCAGGAGGCAACTGGATTTTCTTGTCTTTTCTTTGAAGATGTTTCACTTCTCATCCAAGAAGCTTCTTCAGCTCTAACTGAATGGTGGGGAATGGAAGGATTTATATTCCTTGCAGACAGCTGGTCATTTGCATCCTTTTTATCCAAGTGCTTCAACGACCCTCTAAAAGGGTGCAAATGACTAGCTGTCTGCAAGGAATATAAATCCTTCCACGCCCCACTAGCCTGTCAGAGCTGAAGAAGCTTCTTGGATGAGAAGCAAAACATCTTCAAAAGAAAAAAACAAGAAAGTCCAGTTGCCTCCTGAAAAAGCACCTTTGGAATGAATGGATGAATGAATGAGGCAAAATCTATGATTAAGGAAGGAACTGAATTTCTAGGATTGTAATGTCTTAGGACCGTGATGGCAAACCTATGGCACATGTGCCAGAGGCGGCACCGAGTGCCCTCTCTGATGGCACGCGAGCCATCACCCTAGTTCAGCTCTCCTGCTGGCCAGCTGGCCTTTGGGTCTCTGCCGCGAATGCGCAGGGGGCGGGGTGTGTGCAGGGGGGCCATGCACACATGCACAGGGGGTGCATACGGGGGCACGTGCATATGTTGGGGGGCAGGGTGCATGCGCGGGGCTACATGCGCATTGCATTTTGGGGGTTCGGGCATGCAGGTGCGCATTGGGCACTCAGTCCAGAAAAGGTTAGCTATCATTGTCCTAGGAGTTAGGTAATTCAGTAAAAATGATTGGCAGTAGAATTGTTCCTGACTAAATGTATATCCTATTCAAATGTTCAATGCCCATTGTGAACTTCAGAGTAGACAGTTTTTAGCATGTCTCATATTGCTTGTTCCTTTGTATCGTTTTTCTCTTGTTCAGAATACTCTGAAAAAAGACTGTTTGTTAAGGCAGTTCAGTTCAGAGACTTGAGTCAAAGAAAGTTTGAATTAGAATCAGTTTATGTTTCCCCCCCTCCGCCTCTATTTTCCATGAGACCATGGAAATTTAGAAGTTTACAATTGCCTACTTGCTCTGCTGCTTTGGCGGTGTTACCTTGATAGTTATCACTTTCCTTTCCTTTTTTCTTTTTCTTTTTCTTCTTGTCACTCAGGGTGCCGTTCTTTTGTACTTTTCCTGCAAATGATTCTATATCATCCAGAACATGGTTCAGGATCTCCTGCTCGCAACAGAGGAACAAGAATCCAAATCCAATACTGTATTTATTGAAAGCTTTTTGGGGAAAATCACTGACAGTGTACATTTTTCTTGCCATTCAGAGCAGTGGTGAATTGCTAGCGGTTCACTCCGAATTGGGCAAACCGGTAGTGGCGGTGGCGGGAGGCTCCGCCCACCCGCCCTGATGCTTTTGTGCATGCACAGAAGTGTTGCACATGTGCAGAAGTGTCATGTGCATGGGCAAGCACGCGTGTGCCCACGAGCGAACTGGTAGCGACGGATTTTGAAACCCAGCCCTGATTCAGAGATTTAGCAGTTAGGTCATGCTTTCAATTTGATAATGGTTTAATTTACTTCACTTGGTTCCTTGTCTAGATCTGGGAAAAAACACTAATTAAGAAGTGAAATTAATTAGCTGTACAAAGACATCTTCTCTCATTTACATGTTATTAATCTCCAGATCAATAAGGTATCTCTTATTCTGGCTTGTAATCCTGGCTTCTAGCTAAATATCTTCCTTTACTATAGTTCTTTATCAGGGGTGGGTTCTACATTTTTTTACTACCGGTTCTGTGGGCGTGGCTTGTTTTGTGGGCATGGCTTGATGGTCATGTGACAATTCTTGAGGATTTAGCAGAGGTACTGGTCTACCAGGCTTTTAACTGTTTGCAGAGCTGTACTGGTCTACTCATTTGTTTTTGGAGGCACCGGTCTACCACCACACTGCCTTTTAACACTGATCAGCTGTAGGCCGGCACTTTGAAGCCCCGCGGCAATAGTTTAAAAAGTTTTTTTTCTTCTAGCCAATCAGCTGGGACTCAATAGATTGGGGGTGGGGCCAAATAAAAGGTAAGAATAACGCAGGGGGGCAGGGGGGGCAGAACCGGTTCGGTGGCGTCATATCGTCACCACTACCGGCTCGGTGGAACTGGGCGGAACCGGGAGGAACCCACCACTGTTCTTTTCTATCCTTCCAGACAATTTCTAGAATCTCTTGTCACACTTCCATAGAAGTGGTGCTTCATGATTACAATCTCTGTTCATAAAAATATTTAAACTCAGACTTTGTACCAACAACAATAGTTCTTATACTCAAACAGGCGATTTCTAATTGGGGTTGAACTAAAATTCACATACTCTCCAGACAATATGGTTAACCTAAGGAGTTGGGTATTTCTAATCCCAAATAAATTGGAAAATATCTTCTCTTATACACTGTACAAACTAGGGTATGCAGTTTTCTTGCCCTACCTGTTTAGATAACAATATCCTGCTGCCCAGTTCCTACCCTCTAGAGACACGACAGGGAAATATGTTTTATGTGGGGCCAGCAGAGATAAGATATCCAGGAAAGAATGGAGTACTTACAATTTCTATAGATTTATCCTGCGACATCGGGGAGAGTCTAGGATCCTCTTGATGTGTTTCATACTTCTGCTGCTGGTCAAATTGCTGTTCAGCTTCTACAATGTTCAATAATCAATGTGTCTACAATGTGTCAATAATGCCCCAGCTAGCTAACTTTCTATTTCAACTCCTTGCCCCAAATCAGGGGTGAAATCCAGCAGGTTCTGACAGGTTCTGGAGAACCAGTAGCGGAAACTTTGAGCAGTTCGGAGAACCAGCAAATACCACCTCTGGCTGGCCCCAGAGTGGGGTGGGAATGGAGATTTTGCAATATCCTTCCCCCAGGAGTAGGGAGGGAATGGGGATTTTGCAGTATCCTTTCCCTGCAGTGGGGTGGGAATGGAGATTTTTCAGTATCCTTCCCCTGCCACGCCCACCAAGCCACGCCACGCCCACCAAGCCACACCCACAGAACCAGTAGTAAAAAAATTTGGATTTCACCACTGCCCCAAATGTGTGTACCCCAGTTGCTTCTAAAAAGGATACCAAGGGGTAAAAGAGACAGCTGTTATCATATAATGAATGTATATCACTTAACCCTGGCTGTCTTATAATAGAAGCTGTGAAAATCCATTCCTAGCCACTGCTACTAAATTTTGGCTTCTAGATCCTAGGCTCAATCTAGAAACATACCCAAATTGCACTCTTGAATGTTTTTTTATCTAAATTTCCATTCCCTGACTTGCTTTTTGACTGAATAGAAGCATCTTTTTCTGCATTAAGCTTGAATCTAATTGTCCTTATCTTACCCATAACTGACAATGGGTTTCAACAGCTTCCCTGGTGTTTTGTTTTTTTTAAAAAAAGGAAATACATTACTGGAAGCTATCAGTTTACTGGTGACACTAAATCTGATCTTTCCAGAACAGTTATCCCAATATTTCCATGCATATATTGAAAAGCAGTGGGAGATAAGATAGAATATTGAGGAAAACTACAAGCAAATAGTTGTTGAGCAAGAGTTCCGAAACTTGAAGCAATAGACTACAGTTCTACTGTATTCACCACTCAGAGCATCCAAAATTGGAAACAGTCCAAGAATAATTCAAGCCTATTATACACCTATCCCATGTAAATAATCTAATTCTCTCCTTTGGTCATATTTCCATGTGCTGTATATTATGGCAATAAACACTCCCTCCCTTCATCTTTTTATTTTATTTAGCATGCATGTCTTCCATTAGTAGGTAACATTCCAGCAAAAAGGAATTATACAGTTACCATTGAATTCCGTGTAGCGTTGCTCCATGTCCCAAGGAGAATCATGAGGAATTAGTTTGGTGTTGCCAATGTGAGGTGCTCTATTTTGCCGATTCAACATGTTCTCCAAGTTCACTCTAAATTATAATAATAAACCTACATCACCATCATCATGTCTTGAGGTAACCAATAAAGCATCTGCAATCGAAATATAATATTGCAGATGTCCAACTTTTCTGTTACCTGAGCATATCATGATTCTGACATTCGGTTCTCCATTCCTCAATAGCTTTCTGTATTTTGGTTTTCAACAAGTCAGCCTAAAAGAAAGAAGAAGCAGTTTTCAGGTTTCTCTGGATTCAGACCTTCCAGCTTTAAACTGGAATGGCTACTGTTATTGTCTGTTACAAATTGTTGTCCGCCACTATGAGTGTAAAAAAGATGGTGAGACTCTAGAAAACATAAAGAGAAGAGCAAAAAAGATGATTAGGGGACGGAAGGCTAAAACATATAAAGAAAGGTTTGCTAGAATTGGGTATGTCTAGTTTAATGAAAGAAAGGACTAAGTGTTCCAATAACTAAAGGGGTTGCCACAAAGAAGAGGGAGTAGTCAACCTATTCCCCAAAGCACCTGAAAGCAGGACAAGAAGCAATGGATGGAAGCTAATCAAGGAGAAAAGCAACCTAGAACTAAGGAGAAATTTCCTGAGAGAACAATTAACCAGTGGAACAACTTGCCTTCAGAAGTTGTGGATGCTCCAACACTGGAAGTTTTTAAGAAGAGATTGGACTTGTCTGAATGTTTTCCTATACCATTTCTTTCACAGAAATGAGCAGAGGGTTGGACTAGAAAACCTCCAAGGTCTCTTCCAACTCTATTATTCTGTTATTCTGTACTATCCTATGACAATAGAAGCACTGCAGAATGTTTCCTTTGGCTAACCTTTTGATAATTATGTGGGAAGTAGGACTCATACTGGAGCAAATTATTTCCCACTCCTATAAGATAATAAGGAACTAATTTCTTTTTGCTATTCACCTTATGTTAAACACTAGGAAGAGAGTATGCAGTAGGATTTGGACTATGGAAGGTTACCCACATGTTTATTAAAATCTGACAATCAGTGTCTTGCTACCAGACGAGAACAATTTCCTAAGTCTCCTAGTGCCATAGGTCCAAATGAGATTTGTTAGGACTCCTATATTTTAAGCAAAGATGTCAATTTCAGATATATTACATGTGATTATGGATTTCAGAGGAACCTGCAGTTTGTCTCTAGGCCATCTTCAAATCTGTCCCCTCCAAATTAAAAAGATGCTGTATTTACCCCAATCTGCTCGCATTGAAAGAGCAAGATACTAGTTTTCTGCTGGTTCAGTTCTTTCACAGAAATAGCCAAGATGGAGTTGTAAATACAACAGTTAAGGATGGAGACCCAATCCTGGATATCTTCCAAGGGATAGCAGTCCAGCTCTTCCTGTAGGCAGAAAAACCAAACACACAGGATGTAGCAGAAAGGACCATGTTGCCACCTTTCAGGTCCAAAGAAAAGGACACAACTTTCTATGCCAACAATCCATGAGGAACATGACTATACAGTAGTTCTTTGCCATTCCTTGGCATTTTAAATGTCTTATTTAATAGCAGTATCATGGCTACTGTTCAGATATTTAGTCTCAGTTGTCCCAGGTACCCATCCCAGCTTGTAAGAAAATATGGCAATGCAAATTGGGTGTGAAATAAAGTATACAGAAGCTCCATTTACCTCAGCCTCTATGTCCATCAGCAACAATTTGTTCTCCTTGATCTGCAAAAGCATGTCTTGGCCCCACACTTGGCTTTGGGCATCCATCATTTTGAGTCGCTCAATACAATTCTCTACATTGTTGATTTCTTTGCCATCAATAGTACAAGTCAAAAGGTGCTGTGGATAAAATATGGACTTTGGTTCTTTAGTGCATAATCTGAGTGTACATATAACTGTTGTGAAAAGATCAGTGTATAAGAGAAACTAGGACCGTGATGGTGAACCTATGGCACATGTGCCACAGGTGGCACACGGAGCCATATCTGTGGGCACGCGAGCGTTGCCCTAGCTTAGCTCCAGCATATGCTGGGCAGCTGATTTTCGGGCCTTTTGGGCCCATCAGAATTCAGGAAATGGGCCGTTTTCAGCCTCTGGAGGGCCTCTGGGGTGTGTGGGAAGGCCGTTTTTGCCTTCCCCAGGCTCCAAGAAAGCCTCTGGAGCCTGGGGAGGGTGAAAAACAGGCCTACTGGTAACCTTTTTGCCATTGCGTGCCAAAAGAGGGGTCGTGCACGCATGCACAGGGGCGGGGGGCATTGAATTATGTGTGAGCACGTTCGCCTGCAACCCCCATGCTCCCCCCTACTTTTGGCACGTGACGGCAAAAAGGTTAGCCATCACTGCACTAGGAAATACTGTAGGGAAGGGCCTACAGTACTAGGAAGTGCTGCATGTAGAGCATATGCTATTAACTTCAGTTGGTTCAGTATAATAAACAGCAACATTTTTCAAATGATTAATTTATGGTGGGAATTTTGTTCAACAGAGGCAATGTATAACTCATTAAACTAGGTAGACAATCATTGATTACATAATCATTTAATATTTACAAGTAATTTAGAGTTGTTATATTACTGTAAGAAAGAATGACAAAAGATTAAACATTAAAGGTAGGGAAATTAATATGTCAACTACAGAAAAACACTTCTAAATTTATCTGATTAAAATTCAGGTGATCAATCAGTTAAATATTAACTGATATAGGCTTCTAATGCTGAAATTCGGAATAACTTTCTGTCAGAAGAATAGGCCCCAGTCTCTTGCAGATGTTCAGACAAATGTGTGCAAGGAGAAATGAGTTCCCACCTGTGGCTGTATGCATGCAACATGCTTAGTCAGGCTAATTACATGTAGCTGCATTCATCCAACATGAAGCTCAAATGGGGGTGGGTGGGATTGAATAGCATGGTGTGAAAACCAAGGCTGTTTGGTTAGTTTGGGATTCAGTACATTATTCAAAGAAAATAGAATAGGTCAGTCATCAAATTAAGCTTGTTGTGTGAATACAGCCAATAATAGGCTTTGCTCTAATTTATTTTCATCTGGATGTTAGAAGGCAACCTCTGAGTATACAGTCCTTCCAGGGGTGGGTTCTAAATTTTTTTACTACCGGTTCTGTGGGCATGGCTTATTTTGTGGGTGTGGCTTGGAGGTCATGTGACTAGGTGGGCGTGGCTAGCTGGTCAGAGTCATTTCTGGAAGGTCCTCGCACTTACGACCAGTCCTCACACTTACGACCCAACTCATTTGTTTGCTTTTAACACTGATCAGCTGGAGGACAGCACTTTGAAGCCCCTTGGCAAGAGTTTAAACAGTTTTTTTCCCTCTAGTCATCAGCTGGGATTAAGGAGGCAGCAATAGATTGGGGGTGGGACCAAATAAAAGGTAAGAATAACATGGGGGTGGGGAGGGCGGGGGGGGAGAACCGGTTCAGTGACATCATATCGTCACCGCTACTGGCTCGGCCGAACCGGACCGAACCGGGAGGAACCCACCACTGAATCCTTCACTTCTAACTATTTGTTTAGTAACTGAAGTTACGATAGGACTCAAAAAAGTGACATGCAGTCAGTTTTTACACTTATGATCATCACAGTGTCCCTGCAGTCACATGATCAGAATTTGGCTGCTTGGTGATCACCATGTATTTAGAAAAGTTGCAATGTCCTGGGATCATGTGATCACCATTCACAACATTCCCAGGGGACTTCCAACAGGCAAAGTCAATGGGAAAAGATGGATTCACTTAACAACCGCATGATTTACTTAACAACCATTGAGATTTGCTTAATGACTGTGGCCTAAAAGGTCATAAAATAGGGCCCAACTCACTTAACGTTTGCAACAGAAGTTTCTGTCTCAATTGGGGTTGTAAGTTGACGACTACCTATATAATGAAGGTTGTAAACTTACTAATTTATGAATGAATGGTAAATTAAAAATGTAAACATTAAGGATGTTATTTAATGCTGAGTTTCTGTTCTTCCCCACTTTGTAAAACCATTTGAACGCCTTTAAGAGGTTAGGACCAAAGAACTGGTAAAGATAAAGTCATCCTGCATGGGAAGCACAGGATTATGGAATAAGACAAAATCTTGTCAAGCATCATATTTAACTCTATGTGCAATGCAGGAAGTCTAGAATCAGAGCATTTTGAACCAATGGCCAGGTAATCTCCTCTTCAGGAAGATCAATACAAAAGGACCCAAAATTCTTTCATTGAGCAATGGATGAGGTTTACGTAGAACAGGGATGTCAAACTTGATTTCATTGAGGGCCGGATCAGGGGAAGAGTGGGTGTGGCCAGGGTGGACGTGGCCAGCTCAACGTCACTTGTGTCAAGGCCACCTGTGGTGGTCCAAGCACTCTGCCAGAGAAAACGGGCTCTTGAGCTCTGTTTTTGGCTGCGACGGCCTCCTGTAAACCTCTGCCAGTGAAAACAGAGCTCAGGAGGACCTGCGTGCAGCCCTCCCAAGTTCCGTTTTCCTTGATACAGGCACCACAGGCCGGTTCTTTGCTGTTTCCAGGGCAGCCTCGTGGGCCAGATCTAAGCACCCTACGGGCCGGATCTGGCCCCCGGGCCTTAAGTTTGACACCCCTGACGTAGAGCAAAACTGATAAGTGCACCCATCTTCTGCAAATGAGAAGAATGGCAGGGACCTTTCTGGGCTTCCAAAGATTTTTCCTACCTCCACCCGATGCCGGAAGTCACACTCAGCCTTCATTATAGTGCTACTGTACTCCTTCCTTTGATCTGTGAGGGGAAAAAAGGCAGAATTCAACTCCAGTTTTTGCTTTAAGTATTCATTAGGATGGCAATCAGATCGCAGTTTGTAGTGGGTACCACTAAGGTGACCAATCGTCCTCCTTTAGGGAGGACAGTCCTTCTTTTGTAAGTTCTGTCCTCTCTCGAAAAGTGTCCTCCTACATGTCCTCCTTTTCGATATTTGAAGACTAATCTGTAAATCTCCGTATTCGATCAATGCCAATCCGATCCGTTGCATGTGATCGGATGTATTTGTATTTGACATGATGATTCATTAAGGCTGTATGTTGAGACACGATTATGAGATGCATGTGCTCCGCACAGGAGAATTGTTTTGAGAGAGTGCCCCGTGTGCAAGTGGCTTTGTTTACTTCTTACCGAAACATGACATGGCACACACGCACATGTCCTCCTTCTTATTGTAAAAAAGTTGATCACCTTAGTACCACACAAATGATAACCCAAAACCTCAGAGAAAGTTTATGTCCTGGAGGGCAGGGGAAGGCAGGAGTTGGCTCCACTGATCTTGGATTGTCCAGGACTGCTTTATGTGCCAATTAGAGGGAATTAATAAGGGGAGGGGGTTGTTTCTCTTTACATCAGAGAAGATAACAGAAGGAAGGGAAGCCTACACTTCTCTAAACTATTTTATGCCTAAGGGTCAGCTGATATTCTTCTCTCTGATACAGAGTGAGAAAGCACATGGCACAGGGCCTGGTTACTTGACGGATCGCCTATCTCCCATATTATTTTCCTGGCAGCTCTGATTTGACTAGGTTGGCATGCTTTGGGTACCTTTGATTAAACAACGCCATCTATTGGGAACTCAGAAGCACAGCTTCTCTGATGCAGCACCTGCTCTGTGGAGGGAGGTTGCCCTGAGAGATTCAAATGTTCCCACCCACCCTCAATAGTGGTGCTTCAAAGACCTATGTTCCCACACCTTTGGCGAAGATTGGCATCTCTTTTCTTCCATCTCTTTGTCCCTATTTGGGTTTGCTTTCTCTGCCACATTTCTTCCTTTTTGTGTTGTTATTTTTGTGATATTTCCTTATTTTTAAATGTTTTCAACAATTTGCATACCATCCAGAATCAGATTTTGTAGTTGGGCAGCATATCAATAATAATTAAAAAAACACCTGAGCAAGTCATTACATACACAGCTGGAATAATAGACTAGATTCAAGCAGAACTAAAAGTCTGGGATAGCCACGCCAGAAAAATAATGACAATGAATCATGCCCTTCATCCATGAAGCAATGTTGACAGACTTTATTTACCAAGGAGCATAAGTGGGCATGGAATATTGTCCAGATGGTATCAGAGGGTTGAAGAAATAAAAAGGACATTGGAAGAATATCTGATGGACAGTGAAGACGATGCACTGAAGCTAGCATACAATAGAGGGTTACCGAGTACTGAATAGATAAAACTGGCCTACAAGAAATACCAAATAAAGAATAGAAAAGAGACATGGCAAGGCAAAGTATTATTAAAAATAGCAGACAAAGCAGATAACAACAAGACCTGACAATGGCTAAGAGCAAGAAAGTTGAAGAAAGAGACAGAGGGACTAATTCTGGCTGCACAAGACCAGGCCTTAAGAAGATAAACATATAAAGGCAGAATGGTGAAGACAGCAACAGACAGCAAATGCCGCCTCTGTAAAGAAGCTGAAGAAATAGTGAGCCACCTAGTTAGCTGCTGCAAGAAGATCACATAGACTGACTACAAACAATGCCATGATCGAGTAGCAACAATGAAACAGTGGAATATCTGCAAGAAATACCATTTGCCTGCAAGCAAGAACTGGTGGGACCACAAAATAGATAAAGTAGTACAAAATGTGACTTTAGAATTCAAGCAGACAAGTACCTGCCACATAATACCCAAACTTAACAATGGTTCATTAAAAAAAGGGGGAGGGGAACCCATCTGGATAGTGAATGTTGCAGTACCTGGAGACAGTAGAAGAGAAGAGAAAGAACTGGAGAAAATCATGACATACAAAGATATGCAAATAGAAGTGGAACAACAGTGGCAAAATATAGCAAAAATAGTAATAGAAGCATTGGGTGCAATCTGGGGCAAGACATGAACACCATCAGCATTGACAAATCATCCTTAGTCAATTGCAAAAGGCAACTTTCCTTGGAACAGCTTACATCCTGTGACAATACCTTTAATAATCAAGCAATATCTGCCTATCCCAGGTCCTAGGGAAGGATTTGATAGGTGGATAAAAATACCAGATCCAATCTAAACAACTGCTTGACAGTGTGATAATCATCATCATCATCATCATCATCATCATCATCATCATCATCATCATCATCAATCAATCATCATCATCATCATCATCATCATCATCATCATCATCATCAATCAATCATCATCATCATCTGGTTCCCTCTAGGCTATTTCTCGGCATAAAAGAAATATACTCCTACATAAGAAAGTAAACAATGTGTAGATGGTAGCTACAACTGCATTTTTGCTCCTCTGATAAAAAAAAGTTATTTTAGGCCCCTGGGATAGGATTCCCTTTGAATGATCTGGAAAGAGGAGAGCAGGCTATCCTTACGGTAAATGGCTTTGCCACTTGGCCTGGACATGCTGTTGGCTCTGCTGAAATCCGTCCCAGTGTCACTGTGGAGAAAAGAAAACAAGGCACATGGATTTAATTTTTTTTTAAAGGTCTTCTATTCACTTATATTCCCTTATATCTCAGTTATTCCTCCCCACCCCCTCTGTTACTACTGAATCAGGAATTTTAGTAAGTTCCAATAATAAAAATTCATGATTCTGGACAAAATGAAATGATCTGCTCTTTGAGATGCAGTGTGAGCTAAATTTCACTTAAAATGTTCAGAATCCAAATCTTTTTGATAAAGACTTTTGACAAAGACTTTCTAGATAGAATCTGTGTCTAGATTAGAGACTATTTTGTTGTGGCAAATTCTCAATAAGATTGAAATATATAGGAATAAAGGTTTAAAATTTACATTAGTCTATAACCGTGATGGCGAACCTATGGCACACATGCCACAGGTAGCACGCGGAGCCATATCGGTAGGCACGCAAGCATTGCCCTAGCTCAGCTCTGGCATGCATGCGCATGCTCGCCAGCTGATTTTCAGGCCTTCTGGGCCCACTGGAAGTCAGGAAACTGGCTTTTTTCAGTCTCTCTGGAGGGCCTCCTGGGGGGGGGAGGCCATTTTCACCTTCCCCAGGCTCCTAGAATGGCTCTGGAGCCTGGAGAGGGTGAAAAATGGGCCTACCGGGCCCACTGGGCCAAAAGCTGGGGGAACTTGGGGGGTCGTGTGTTCATAAGCGGGGTGGGTGGGGCGCATTGAATCATGTGTGTGGGCACGCACGCACGCGACCCCCCCACGTTCCCCCCGCTTTTGGCACGCGACGGCAAAAAGGTTAGCCATCACTGGTCTATAATTTAAAAGAAAATTTCTATAAAATGATATATCGCTGGTATTTAACTCCAGATAAGTTGCCAAGAATGTATAAAGACATTTCAAATGAATGTTGGAAATGTAAATGTAAAGAAGGGACTTTTTATCATTTATGGTTTCCGTGTGATAAAGCAAAGAAATATTGGAGTAGGATTCATATTTTAATACAGAAAATTCTTAAAAGGAATATAAAGAGAAAACCAGAAACTTTTCTTTCGGCTTTAATGAAAAAAGACCTGGGGGAAAAATTCGGAACTTTGATGTTATATATGTTGATGGAAGCAAGGCTTCTTTATGCACAGAAATAGAAGGTCACCTCAATCCCCACAATGGGTGGGTGGATGGCTGCAAAAACAGATGGAGTTAGCTACATTGACTGTTTTGATCAAGGAAAAAAGTACACTTTTATTTCTACTTGGAAACCATTTCTGGACTTTGTGCTTGAGGTGGGGAAAAAATGAAACTTTGATTTTAGGTTTTACTGATTAGATAGATTTGTTGTTATAGAAATGGCTAGTTAATACAATTATGTAAAAGTAAAAAGTTGAGGTTTGATGTTAATGCCTTGTTCTACTGCACCAAAGAGAGCCTGAAGTCAATACTATCTATCTATCTATCTATCTATCTATCTATCTATCTATCTATCTA